ATTGCTGCAAGTTTAAGGCTGGCCTAGGCTACACAGTGAGTTTAAGGCCAGCCTGAACTACATAGAGTCCCTGTCTCGAAAAAAAAAAAAAAAAAAAAAAAAACAAAGGAGAAGAAAAAAAAAAAAAAGAAAGAAGGTATGCCCTCTTCTTACCCCTAACCCACACCAGCCAGGGGTGTCCTCTTAGGCTTTCCTACCATTCAAAAGAGTAGCTAATATATAGATCACCCACATCAAAGCTTAATGCCCAAGGCCTTGCTGTTTACAAGAAGGTCCCCAGAACCTGGGCTTCTATTGAACACAAAGAAATCAGTGTCCCACCATGCTTGGTGGGACATGCCTGTAATCCCAGCTACTCAGGAGGCTGAGGCAGGAGGATTGAAAGTTCAAGGCCAGTCTGGGCAATTTAATGAAATCCTGTTTCAAAATAGGGCTAGCAACATAGCTTAGTGGTAGAGCACTTGTGTAGCATGTGTGAGGCTCTGGGTTCAACGCTCAATACAGCAAAAAAAAAGAAGTCTTAATGTGGATGTCCAGTGAACAGTGCATGTTAGGTTGAATTTTTGAAAAAAAACTGTGGGGAGTATGTCAGGCACATGGAATTCTGTCTAGAAGCCCGTGCCTCTGTCTAAGGTAAGGCAGGGGGTACAATTTGCTACTAAGCTGACTGGACAAAGGACACAAGGTCAGAAGCAGCAGACTGGGAAGGGAAGGGAGCACAAAAGGCTCATAAGAGTCAAGTACCTAAGTCCAAGTCTGCAGAGAACAAATGCTCCATCGGGTCCTCAGCTGTGGCCTCGGTGCTGTCTGTACCTGGAATTGAGGCAAAGGTACCGGTCATTCAGAGTGGAACTGAGGACTCCATGGGCCAGAGGGTATAGCACAGAGGATACAGAGGCAGGGGATGCGGTACCTTCCGGCGGCTCGGGGCTGCTCCCGCTGCTCCCGGGGCTCCCGTCGTCATTCCCATCGCTCCCGCCGCCGCCGTCGGGGTGCCCCACTCCCACTCCCCCAGTGGCTCTCGCTGCTTCCTGCGCACAAGTACCTAGGATCAGCCCACCGCCCCTCCAGTTACTGTCCTGTCCTCAGGCCCACCCGGCCCCTCCCCAGCTCTCACATTACTGAAGGGGTTCTGCAGACAGGAAGGACTGAGGGTGCAGCTCTTCAAGGCCTCTTCCTCCTTCTCCCTCTCAGGGGATACACAACTGTGGTGTCGCTTTGATGATTTCTGGGTCCCTGGTTGGGCTGTGCAGTTGTTGAGGGGAGAGAAGCGTTAGGAGCTTAGGAAAGGAGGGAGGCAAGGGGTCTGAAGAGATGGGTGGACCAGGAAGGGGAACCTGCGCAGCAGCTCCTAAAAGGCAGGGACGCGGCGGAAGTCCAAGGGGCCTCGGGAGGCCACGTCTCCATCCTTCCTCCTCATTCTGCTGGGCAGCTGGGCAAGCGGCACTCACCAGGCAGGGTTCCCGGAGGCAGCAGCCGATACACCTTGTAGGGCTCAGCAATGTCCATACGGCCTCTCTCAGGGACCTCCTCAAATTCTGTACTCTTGTTGAGGGCACAGCGTAGACGAGTCTTCCAGGTAGCAGGGCTTCCTATGTCCCCATCCTTGTACTTTCCCTTAAATATTGCCCAGGCCTAGTAAAGAGAGGAAGCGAAGAAGAGGCAACACGTTACCTACCCCAGCTGCCCCTCCAAGAGGGCTGGGCCCACGGCCTGTGCAAGCTCAAGGCCGTGAGCTCGGATGGGCTTGTGCCAGGTTTGTGTTCTGCTGCTACTTTGAAATCTCTGCTTGCTTGCTATACTGGCACTTCAACACAGGGCCTTCCCACTGAGCTGCATCCCAGGCCCTTTTTGAGATAAGGTCTATGCGAAGGTACCCAGGTGGGACTCAAACTTAGGATCTTTCTGCCTCAGCCTCCTAGAGTGCTGGGATTACAGGTGGCTGCCACTACCCCCACTGCCATTTTGAAATCCTTAATACTGATCTTTTAATGTGGGGTTCTGCATTTTCATTTGGTACTGAGCTCTACAAAGAACACAGATGGTCCTACTCTCCAACCTGCCCCTTATCTGAAACCTAGACAGAGACCAAAGGGCTTGAGGCCAAGCACACCAGTGCATACTCCGTCCCCCAGGGGGAGCGGCTTCTAGGCCCTTTCACCTTGAAGAAGAGGGCGTCCTGGTCCTCCCGGAAGTCCTGTTTGCCCGCATGCTTCCAGGGAATGCGGAACATGGTCTTGGCTGGCTCGTCATCCCAGCACACCCCTGGGAACTGCCCACTCTCCACCTGCTCCACCACCCAGCTCCGGAGCTTTCGGGTGCAGCGAGCCCGGCCTGACGCCATCCTGGGAGACAAGAGGGGAAGCAAGCATCACAACGGCGCTTCGGGAGGGAAGATCCACTAAGCCCCTGACCACTGGGGCTGGCTGCTGCAACAGCCCCACGTTTTGGCTCCACATGTACAACATTCTCTGAGGCAGAATTACTTTGTTTCTTTCATCACTCCTAATTATTTTCACTAGAAATTACTTTTTTTTTTTTTTAGAAATTACTTTAAAAGTAATTCTTTTTAACATTCTGAGCTGATACCTGGATAGAAACCTTAGACACTGGTCTTTTTTTTCCAATAAGGTCTCACTCTGTAATTTAGGCGGGCCTTGAACTTGTGGCAATCCTCCTGCCTCAGCCTCCCAAAGTGCAGGGATAACAGATGTGCACCACCACACCCAGCAGACATTTTTTTTTTTTTTTTTAAACATTGTTGTAAAGACTTTTCAGCAAGTCCTGAGTTCAAATACTGGTACAAAAAAAATACTTTTCAGCAAGGTACTGTTTGGGAGAAAAGATAATTCCCTTGGAGGTCTCCTGGTGAAAGGCTGTTAAGAATCCCAATTCTTTACTATAGGCAGAGGAGGGTCCCTGAGATGCTTCATCAACCCTCTTTACCTATCTCCCCAAACCCACCCTTGACCTTTGGCCCTCTTGTGTGCTCCAGGGGTAGGTGGGGCTTTAGGAGCTGTGGTCACAGGCGGAGCTACGACACAAGTGGGCAGGGCCAGAGGACAAGGGGACAAACAGGGCCTACTGAGGCTGCATTAAGAGACTTCCTCCATGGACCTACAGGCGCATTTCTTCCCTGTCCCTTTCAACAGGGCCTGAACGCTGACCCTTACCAGTCTCTCATTCTCAGGCCAACTTGAACTGCTTCCTGACCCACAGGCTCTCCGCCCTGTAGAAGGCGCCGGGGCGCCTCGGGCAGGGTCAGGCTCCAATCTTACTGGGCCTTGCAGCTCTAGATCCCTGGTGGACTCCCTCTTTGGCTGTTCTTACCTGAGCTGCTGTCCGGGCTGTTGCAGGGCTCAGTGCCCCTCAGGCCCTGGCTAGGCGGCGTATGATCTCTCCACCCCTTTCCACAGTCCCCACCCTAAGTTTCAGTTCTCCTCGGGGAGGTCCCTTTCCCAGAAGTCACGTGGCTCGAGTTGCAGGGCAACCGGCTACCACTAGAGGGAAGCAACACTCGGGACTCTGCACAGCTCCGCCCTCGTTAGGGGGCTCCTCCCTCTCCTCTCTCATACTCCCTGCTTGCACCTGACCTTTTGCATGTGGTGCTGATGTCGCCTCACGGAGGCCAATTTCCTACGGTCTGGCTAGGAGCTTTAGGGCCACATGTACACCCGTGTCTGTGTCCCCCCACCGTACGCACTCGGTACAGCTCGGTGACCCCCAGCACTAGCTAAATCCCATGAAAGGAGGGAAGGAGGGAGGCCGGGAGGGAAGCCCAGCCAGGTGGTTGGGCGGGGAGAGCTTGGCCATTCAGGGAACCAACTGCTTCCTGGCCTGAGTCCAGGTGGCTCAGATGGTAGGCTGCAGGAGACCCTTTCAGCAAAATTTCATTCACCCCCTCTTTCCCTGGCACCCCTAGATGGTAGGGCCAGGAAGAAGGACCACCAAGAAGCCTGGCAATAAGATGCCTCTTTATTGGTGCTGGAGCTGTTCCTGAGGGAGCCACTGGGCCCTCCTGAAGACCCCTGCCCTCAGCTACTTCCTCCTGCGGGGGATACTCTGTCCCAAGGGCACCTCTTCCATCAGCTTCTGCAGAAGGAGAGAGAGGATAATGATACTGGATGCCTGGAGCTCAGAAACAGGTTGGGACAGGTGACATTTGGAGGGAGGTGACAGGTAAGGCTGAGCCAAAAGCATTACCTGTGACAAACGGGCTTGGTAGGCAGGGGCATCCTCTCCAGCCAAGGGCTGGGGGTGCACATGCAGGTAGCGCTCAGTGGCTGTCTCCAGCTCCTCCACTTCATACAGAGCTGCTGGGTCCAATGAGTGGGCATTGATGAGGCTCACAAGATACTCTTTGTAGTGTGCCCTGGAGGGATGAGGGAGTAGGATATTTGTTCTTCGGTTAATTAATATTAACTGAGTGGGCCTAGCACTTAGCTGGGCACTGGGACCCTCAGACAAACAAGACGAATCCTAGCTGAGCATGCTGGTGCGTGCCTCTAATCCCAGCACTTTGGGAGGTTGAGGCAGGAGTCACAAGTGTGACTTCTTCCTGGGCAATGTAGTAACTTCAAGACCCTAGTCTATGCAACTCAGTGACTCTGGAAGACTCTATGTCAAAGACAGCAATGTAGCTCAGTGGGAAGGCCTCAGGTTCCACCCCAGTATCACAAAATCAAACAGGTCAGGCATGGTGGCACATGCCTGTAATTCTAGCACTTGGGAGGCTGAGGCAGGAGGATCACCATGAGTTAGAGGCCAGCTTGGGCAACATAGGGAGTTCAAGGGTACCCTGAACTACACAGTGAGAGCCTATCTCAAAAAACAAGAACCAAACTGACAATTGCTATCTGTTGTACTTGTAGAACAGTACCAACCAGTGTCTACTTCTACTACCCATCCATGCCCCTTCCAGAAGAGCCCCCTCTCCCACTCTTTGCAGGATGTACTGCTCCCAGAAACCCTACCTGACTGCCTGGCCACACCCTCACCACTCCTGGCTCCCACCTCCCACACCGTGCTCTGTGGCCTGCCCAGCACTCACTGGCAGAGGCCGGCATAGCCAGGTGGAGTTTCCTTGCCACAAGCTTCATCCCTGAGCCCATTGGGAACCTCCTTCTGCTCCATCACTCGGCAGCCACCTAAGGGGAGGGGAGGAAGGGACCCCTTGTTGGGAGGAGGCCACTGCCTACAAAGCCCCTGCAGAACGGGGACATCCAGGGAGCCTGTGGAGGTAGCCCCCAGGGAGAGGACTGAGCACACGAACTCCTGCTCCACTAGGGCTACTCAGAGAAGCCACCAGCAGCACAGTAACTCTCATACACAGGCAGGGACCCTGCTGTCCCTACTTTTACCCATGCTGGCTTTTGGCCCATCACCACTTACTCCCTCGTATCTCTCTCGTTACTTAGCTCTTGGACGGTTAACTTACCTGTGGCCCTCATGGAACCTGAAACAGTGCCCTGCAACTGCCAGGTTTCATTAAATACAGAGCTGATTCATGAAGCGTTATCATTTGAGAACGTGAGAAGAAACAACATGAGGGCCATGTTTTTTTTTCTTTTTTTTTTTTTTTCTGAGACAGGGTCTCACCGTGTAGTTCAGGCTGGCCTTGAACTTACTATGTAGTCCAGGCTGGTCTCGAACCCATGGCAATTCGCCTGCCTCAGCCTCCCAAGTGCTGGGATTACAGGCATGCACCACCATGCCCCGCCTAGGGCCATGTGCTTTAATGATTTTGTAAAACAGCTTAGTAGAAACATGACTATTATAATCCCCATTTTACAGAGGAGGAAAAACTAGATCTGGGGAAGTTAACTAGCTGGCCAAACTGTTCCCACACTGGCACACAGTGAGTCCAGCGCACCACCTCCCCTTCCCCGAGGCCTGTCTGACACTCACCTCCAGGGGCTGCCCGGGCTCCAGCAGGAGGCTCTGTGTTAAACATGATGTTATTGTCCTGAGGAGGGGCAGAGACAGATGGGCATTATGTTCCCCTTGATGCCAGCTACTGTTGCATTTCCTAGCCTTCTGTGCCCACCTTGGGCCCTGCAAGAATGTTTCCACTCATGCCCACCCTGTGCCCTTCCTCCTCCTCCTGAACAACCTGCCAACCCAACCAGGCCACCACCTCTGACCTGTAGCAGCTTCTGGAGCCGGGCAGCAGTCCAATCGCGCAGGTAGAAAAGGCAGTCTCGAGGGTGGTGAGCATGCAGGGACTTTTTCACCCTGCAGTTAGGCTCTGGACATTTCTGGTAGAAACCCAGATGAGAGAGGAAAACTTAAGAGACTGCTGGGGTCTTGGCTTCTCAGGAACCCCTGCATGAGGGGCATGGGGTGAAGGGAGATGGAGACATTGGACGGTCTGGAGCAGGCAAAAGGGGAAGGTGGAGAGACAGACGCACTTTACATCCTACTGATCTCTTTTCTCCCCTGGACTGTTCCTCAATGGCCTCTGACCCTCAAACCCAATGGCAGCCCCCTACCCTCCTCTCCCTTCCCCACCCTGAGCTCACATTTTTGGCATAAAAGGTGTTGTAGCAGCCGCTGCAGAACTGGTGGCGGCACTGGGTGCAGTGAAAGTGCATGCAGCCTCCGCGAGCCAGGGCGTAGGAGAACTTGCATTTCGGACAGTCTGTAGGGGATGGCGGGTCAGGGCTGGGGCTGCCACTGCAGCTCAAGGCCCTCAAGGAGAGAGCCGTGCTGCTGATAGACCACTGAGTAGACAGGCAGTGGGACAAGCTTACCAATGCCATTTTCCTGAAGATACATCGCCAGGCCCTGGGCCTGGTATTCTGGGTCGTTATTGCGTTTCCAGTTCTGGAACTCCTCACAGCTCTGTCCTCGGTGCTGCTCCTCCCACTGCCAGAAGGAAAGGAGCTCTGTCCCACCCCAGGCTCTACTTGCGGTCCCTTCCACTCACATCTCGTGGGTCCCAGTTTATGTCATGCCACCCACCATGTGCTCACACGCTGGACACATGGTTCCCCCATGTTCTTATTCCGTCTCATATTCATTAACAAGTCTAGGTTCTACCACTCCAAACCTATCTCAACTCTGTCCCCTATCTTCATCCCTTCTGCCGCCAGGTTTCTCCAGGCCGTCATCAGGCCTTGCCTCAGTTACCTGCTCGGGTTACTAGTCTCTTTCCCTTGCACTCCCTGGGGCCCATTCTCCACACTCCTGCAAGCCTTTTCAAAGCTAAATCGGGAGCTTCACGGTATTGGCAGCTGTCATGGTCTCGGGTTTCATTTTATTATTATGCTTCATAATGTAGGTACAAGTCCATTGGTATCAAACGGTGTTTCTTAAAAGATAAATGAGACGTGTCAGGCCTTGCTGAGTCTCAGAGTGACGGACATGCTTGTCTCGCCTGGCCTCAATGGCGGTCTGTTGATCTGGCAACCAGCTCTGCACCTGCTGCCTGTCAGCCTGATCCTTGTTCTCGAGGAGCCAGCCGACAGCACTTTCTACCTTTGGCCTTTTCATGGGCTGATCTCTCTGCATGGCTGGCTTCTCATCTTTCAGGTCTGATCAATTAAACCATTCTAGAGAACACTTTGTTGACCTCTCTACCTCAGTGGGTCCGTGCTGCTATTCCTTATCTCAGATCTCTATTTTCTTTATAGAACTTATGCCATGGGGCCGGGGATATAGCTCAGTGGCACAAATGCCTGCCTGCAAGCACAAGGTCCCGAGTTCGATTCCCAGTACCAAAAAAAAAAAAAAGAAAAAGAACTTATGCCTATGTAAATTATTTCCTCCTTCCCTTGATTTTCTTCCACCCTGCCTCTTTTCCCTTTCCTTTCTCCACCTTCCCTTCTCCTGCTTTCTCTCTTCCCTTTTTCTTTCCTCCTTCCTCTCTCCCTCCTCTCCCTCCCCTTGGGCACAGCTTGCTACCTAGTAAGTTCTTTGAGCTCAGAGCTCATGTCTGTTTTGCCTTCCAATATACTCCCTGAGTCTAACACAGTACCTGGAAGTAGCTTAGTAAATATTTCTCTAAGGACGAACACTGAGACTCACCTGGCGCTTGCAGCGGACACAGAAAGTCTGGTGACACTGGGGACATGTTGCCTCCAGCTGTTCACGCTCATATATGAAGCCAAAGGAGCACTGTGAGTGTAAGAACATAAAGCTACTCAAGGCCTTACTTGCATCATCCCTGTCCCTCCACAGCCAGCTCTTCTGGGCAGGGCACATACCTGGGCACACCACAAAAACTTGGGGTCCCGCATTAGCACAGCCTCAGTCAGCTTTTTATGAAACAGTGCATAAGCATCTGGCTCCAGACTCTCCCGAAGCTGGGGACAGGATGCAGACGTGGTGTGGGTGGGTACAGTCCCTGTGCAAAGCCTAGGGCACCTGAACCCTAAGGGCTGCAGTACCTGGATATCAAGGGTAGAGAAGTAGCTGAGTAACTGTGTGTCATCGGTGAGGTCGGGGCGGCCACAGGCGGGGCACACCATGTCTGTGATGTGCTTTTCCTTCAGTGCAATGGTGAAGTGTTGGCGGAAGCAGTCAGGACAGATGGTGCACTCACAGGAAATCAGAGCCTGCATCTACAGGAGAAGAATGAGAAGGGAACGAAGGGGGTCAGAAACCACAGATGCTTGTCCTGGGAAGGGGCAGTAGCTTTTAGGTGTCTTCTGAAAAACAAGGATTTAACTGGGCAGGGGTAGAATCTCAAACGCCAAGATGCCAGGCAGGCAGCCCAGCCACCCAAATGTCTGGAGACGGTCAGGTGGAGGTAAACATAAACATGTCTCTGAAGGCATTCACGTTCAATTAAAAACAAACATGCAAATAATATCCTTGAAATGACACTGCAGAGATACAGAAGCAATTACTGGTTGTCAGGTGACCCTGTCGGGGGAAGGAGGTTATGATTATGGGGTGCTGCAGAAGGGGATTCTTTGTGGTGATGGAACAGTCTGTATCTTGCTTATGGTATTGGTTTTATGTATCTGTGTATGGGATAAAATTGCAAAGAACCTCACATCCATGAAAAGAAAGAGCTGCAATATCATTATGGTGTCAGTGTATATTTCTTGGTCTTGATATTACATTATAATCATATAAGAAGACATCACCATAGGGGGGGGTGAAGAGCCCATAGGACTTGGTACTATTTTTGCAACTTTCTATAAATCTACAATTATTTTGCCTTCTTTTGTTTTTTGGTTTTTTGGTTTTTCTCCGGTACCGGGAATCAAACTCACAACCTTGCGCTTGCCAGGCAGGCGATGTGCCGCTGAGCTAAATCCCCAGCCCCTATTTTGCCTTCTTTTGTTTGTGGTACTGGGACTGAACTCAGGCCAGGAAGAAACTGGCACCATGACTGGGCAAGGAGGCTCTCCCCATCCAACCAGATGGCCTGGGCTTCCCACCAGATCTCCCTCCCTTTCATGAAATTTGTCCAGTATCAGAGGTGACCTAACTGTACTAAGTGGGCACTATGGGGGAACACATGCACAGGTGAACATGTGATCCTCTGCACTAAACTGCGTGCGTGCGTGCGTGCATGCATGCGTGTGTGTGTGTGTCTCATCTTGCTATGTAGTTCAGGCTGGGCTGGCCTTGAACTCCTTATGTAGCCCAGGGTGGCCTCAAACTCCCAAGTGCTGGGATCACAGGTATGCACCACTATGCCAGTTTCTAGACTTTTTAAAATTTTGAGTCAGGGTCTCATTAAACTGCTATATTGCCCAATCTTCCTGCCTCAGCCCCCAAGACTGCGATTACAGATGTGCACAACTATGCCTTGTTCATGATTATTTTGTAAAATAAAGAGTAATAAAAGCCGGAGATACAGCTTAGCGGTATAGTGCCTGCCTGGCAAACATGAGGTCCTGAGTTCAATTCCCAGTATCCCCCCAAATAAGTAAATAAGTAAATAAATAAATAATAATAAAAATAAAGAGTAATAAGAAAATAAAATACACAGAGCTGGATAACCAAACTTGACTGCATTTGGCCAGTGAGCTGCCACTTCTGACCTAGACTAAACTGAAGCTCAGGAGGTAAAAAGGGCTTGTTCCTACCAACTGGATTGCTTTCTTTTTTTGGTAGTACTGAGAATTGAATACAGGGCCCCTCATACATGCTACTTGAACTTACTATGTAGCCCAGGCTGGCCTCAACTCACAGCAATCCTCTTGCTTCAGCCTCTCTGGGATTACAGGCATTCACCACCATATCTGGCACCCAGACATTTTTTAGAAGTATATTTTGAGAAGAGGCCTCCCAAAGTTGCCTAGACCAGCCTTGAACTTTTTTTTTTGGTTTGTTTGTATTTTTTATTTTTTTGCTACCTGGAATCAGACCCAGGACCTTGTGCTTGCCAGGCAGGCGCTTGTGCCACTGAGCTAGATCCCCAGCCCCCAGCCTTGAACTTTTGATCCTTCTTCCTGAGCCTCTTGAGCAACTGGAATTATAGGCATACATACTACCACCCAGCACAGTTGGATATTTTAATGATATTAAAGAATTATTCTTTGGGAGGCTAAGGCAGAAAAATCTCAAGTTCAAGTCCAGCCTGGGCAACTTAGTGACTGAGTGAGACCTCGTTAAAAAAAAAAAACAAACCTGTGTGTGTGTTGGGGTGGTTGGGGAGATAACTCAGTGTGAAAGCTTTGGGTTCAACCCCTGGTACCTCAGGAAGAATTATTGTTAATTTTTTTTGGTGTGACACTGGTACCATGGCTTTGTTTTCAAAGTTTACCTTTTAGAGACACACATGGAAGGATCTACAGGTAAAACTATATGGCACCTAAGATTTGGTTCAAAATGATCCTCCAAGTGTATGGATGAAACATAGATTGGCCACATGTCACTAATTTTTTTTTTTTTTTTGGTTTTTCTCCGGTACCGGGAATCGAACTCACAACCTTGTGCTTGCCAGGCAGGCGCTTTTGCCGCTGAGCTAAATCCCCAGCCCCTACGTGTCACTAATTACTGGAGCTTGGCGATGAGTGCACTGAGGGTTACGGACTCTAAGGGGACTTATCATACAATTTGATCTATTATTTCATGTTTGCTATCATCAGCTCTTAGGTGCCCCTTCAAGGGACAGTGGTAAAGGTCTGCTCTCCAGGCTGGTGCTGTTGGGAAATAGTGGAGTCCTTAGGCGGCAGGGCCTGGTAGGAGGTCTTTAGGTCACCGGGGTGCACCCTTGAAAGGGCTGCGAAACCCTGCCCTCTTCCTCTTTAGCTTCCAGGCTATGAGCTGAGTGCTTCCACCACAATGCGCCACAAAAGGCCAAAGCAATGGAGCCAATTAGACTGAACCCTCTAAAACTCTGACCCAAAATCACCCTTTTTCTTTCTAAGCTGATTTTATCAGGTATTTGTTATAGCAGCAGAAAGCTGACTAAGACAGTGTTTGAAAACTTCCACAGCAGAGTATTTTATAAAGGGAGAAGGGAGCCTGTTCCTGCCCTCTTCTTCTCAGAAGGCTTCAGAGGTACCCCGGGAACCACTGAGGAGAAAAGAGGGCCAGGTGGGGGTGACCTGGAGGTCCAAAGGGAATACAGTAATTCTCCACCCAGTGCGGTGGGGCGGGGCTCACCCGGTTGCGGGGCAGGGTCCAGCTGCACACGGCGCATTCCTGGGCAAGCAAGCGGCGCAGAAAGGCCCGGTCCTGGCTGTGCCTCACAGCCTCTACCACATCCAACAACTCATAGTTCCTGGGAGTCTCCTGCAGCAGTGACAGTGCCAGCTCTGCGCGGCCCCAGCTGGGGAGGGCATAAACTGCCAAAAGTCGTCTGACTAGGCTCTGCAATTCAGGTGGGAGGGGAAGAAGTGGTTGTCAGACCCCAGGGATCCTCTCGCTGTCTTCGGCTTGCCTTTCTAGGTAGGCTCTCAGGCTCCTCATCCCCTCCCAGCACCTGCTTGTCTGGCCCATCCCAGGAAGGCTCAGGGCCAGTGTCCCAGAGGCGCTGGTGAAAGGGCTCTAGGCGCTGGCGCTGCAGCTCAGTCAGGGCCCGTGCCACATCACCCCCATGCTGGAACAATGCTTGAAGGGACCCTTCCTGAGGGCCAAAGCCCAGGGACTGGAGCTCCTGCACCTATAAAGTGGGAGTAGAGAAAGAGAGTGAAGAAAGCAAGCAAGCAAGGGAGAGTAAGAGACTCCAAGACCCTCAACCCCAACCCACTTCCAGAACAGCCATTACCTTCCTCCTCCGGGCCCTCACACACTCCTCCACAGCTTCATCCAGGTTGCCATGACGATCTAGCCAAGCTTTCCGGGCTTCCTGACAGGAAAAGGCACCCAGCTCTGGGTCCTGCTGGCCAGCCAGCTCTGTCACCATCTCCAGCACATAAGGCAGCTCTGAGTGCAACCACTGCAGGGGCACCTCGGTGCCTGAGTACTGTAGAGCTGAGAAGATCTCCTCTGGACAGGCACCTGCAACCTCTCCTTCCTATGGGACAGTAACACACAGAAGGCCCGTCAGGAGGGCACTCTCCATCCACCCTCAGCCTGACCCAGGATGCTGCCAGTGGCCAAGCTCAGCTATACTGGTCATGCGACTGTGCATAGTGTGGTACCTGCCACGTGCAAAGTGTTCAGTAAAAGGCAGCTGCTGTTAACAATGACAAGCTTTATAAGAACTCCTATTAAAAAGCCATAGCATCTTCCCTCCCCTTACCAGTTCAGCCCCACCTCATCCCAGGCCCCATCCTCACCCGGATCTTGATCACTAACTGAAGACCCTCCTCCCGCATCTTGTCTTGGCGTTGTTTCTCAGGGTCTCCACAGGAACTGGGCAGAGGGGCACTGAGATGTTGTGAAGGCCCAGGCTTTGGCAGTTCCTTTTCCAAAGAGCTTGCATCCAGCCGGGGAACATGCTGTGCTGGGATGGGGCTGCTGGTCCGATTGCACACAGCACACACCCAGCCAGGGCCCGAGTTGCAGAAGGTACAGTGAATACAGTACCAGACTTGAGTCTGGGCAGAGGAATGCAAAGTATCCCCCTGCTGGGAAGGTAGAGAGAATCATCCCATTGGCTGGCTGGCTGAGGTTCATGACAGAATATACACAGGGAATTGGAGAAAACTGATGGAAAACGAGGAGTGAGGAAGTAGACAGTAGTCTGAGGTACTAGGTGCAAATAATGAGTTGGAAGGCCAGCAACAGGTTACCTTAAGGGGCTGCAGGCAAATGCCAGCATCGTGGGAATCCACCACCAAGCTGGGAGGCTGGGCCAGCCGAGGTCGCTCACACATGGCACATAGCACAGCTGCTGCCTCATTCTCAAAGGTACAGCTCTGGCAGGCCCACTGACCCCGTGCAAGCTCAGGCTCTAGGCCTCCAGTTCCTTGGGAACTCTCAATCCCTGGCCCCAACACCTTACAGCCTCTGGGCCGGTCACAGGCCACACAGAGCACTGCCCAAGGCTCATTTAACATGGCGCAGGTAGCACAGTGCCAGGGTAGACGGGCACTTGCAGGATTTGGGGAAGAAAGAGAGCAGTCTCCTTGGGCCAGCAGGGAAGTCAAGGGGAGCCGCGGTGGAGCTGAGGCAGGTAAACTGTAACAGAAAAGCAGACACGGCCTGCTGAGGTGGGACTTGGTGCCTGGGTCCCTCACCCTTGTGCATCCCCCATGTCCCAGGCTCTGGCCTTTGCACATGTTGATCTCCCTGGAATGCCCTTGTTATCTGCTCAATATTTAAATGACAGTTTACAGTATGTTTCTTCCAGGCAGATATCCCTAACATGGGGCCTGAAGCCCTGTGAAGAGTTTAAAGTACTAATGATTGAGATGATCCCTTGGGCCAGATTGCATCCACCTACTACCTGTTTGCATACCACAATAACCTATCTTATTGCAACTGCCACTGGCTTGACATATATGTCTATAATCTCCTTAAAGCCTGTGACTGGCTGCTTGTCCTCTACTGGACAGTCTTTAGCACAGAATCTTGCACATAACAAATACTCAATTAATCTTAGGTTTTCTTAATTTTACTCCTACCAAGAAAAGACAGCCTCTCACCTGGGGCTCAGGTGGGTGGCCTGGGTGGCCCCAGGCAGGGTCTGGCGCAGGTGATGGGCACGGGATGGATGTCCATGGAACAGGCGGTCACAAGTTGGGCATGAGACCTGCTTACAGGCTGGGCAGTGCAGTGTGCCTGGGGCAGAACCACAGAGAAAACAGGGACCAGAAGGGGGGCCTGGAATGTAGAAACAAAGAGAACAGAACACCTTTCTTTAAAAGACCAGTTATATATGAATCTGCTATATGCACAAGACTATTTTTAGCACATCTGGACTCAAGGAAGCAATTTTAGGGGTTTTTTTTTTTGGTACCTGGAACTGAACTCAGGACCTTACACTTGCCAGGCAGGTGCTTGTGCTGCTGAGCTATATCCCCAGCCAAGGAAGCAATTTTAATCTCTTTGAAAAACCTAACAAATAACCAAGAAGATCCCAAATTTCCATCAATATAGTGTCCCACCCCTCCCTACACAGGACCAGTAATACCTGCAGCAGAGGGTGGAGTGAGGGGGCCAGGAGCCATTTCTCTCAGTAGGGGGTCTAACTCTGAATGCTGCAGCACCTGAAGAAGATAGGGCAGAGAAATGGGCAAGGGCCTGGGGACAGAGTCCCACAATTCCTGTTTCCTCTGTTCAACAGCACCTTTCTCGCCCTTCTTACATCATCTTCAACTTTGTCTTTCAGCAGCTGCTCCAGTGCTTTCTCTCTTGGATGAGCATTCTGCAAACAAGATGAAAAGGGTTTTCACCTACAGCCTTAGAACAGGACTCTCTCTCTTAAGTCCTGGTCCCCTAACAGTCACAGGGAGAAGAACAGTACTAGGAGCTCCCAGATTGCTGTGGGGACCAGGCTCATGGTTCAGCAGCATGGGGGTTCTAAAAGTGGCTGGATTTGCCGGGCGCGGTGACGCACGCCTGTAATCCCAGCACTCGGGAGGCTGAGGCAGGAGAATCACTCCGAGTTCAAGACCAGCCTGGGCTATAAAGTGAGCTCAAGGCCAGCCTGAACTGCATAGCTAGACCCTGTCTCAAAAAGACCAAAAAAAAAGTGGCTGGAGTTAGGCTGGAGTTCTGCTTGGTTCTTAAGACCTCAGGACTAGAGGTATATCTCACCTGCAACAGTAGACTGAGCTCTGTCCGAAGCAGCAGTACTTCCAGTGTGACTGTAGCAACCTGGTGCTCATCTGGCTCCTCCTGGTCTTCCGGGAAGCTCAGTCCATCCGGCCGCTCCTCAGTATAGCCATACAACCGCAGCACATCCCGGCCCCCCTGCCACACATTCACAAGAAGTGACCACCCTGCAGGCCCGGTTGGCAATCGGACTGGATCAGTTCTCATTCACCCAGGCCCTTTGCAGCCAATCCCCAGCCGCGGTCTAGTCCCCTTTCCCACAAGCCCCAAGGGTTTCACCTGCACAGCATCCACGGTGCTGCGAAAGACAGGGTTATTAAACTTGACCGAGCGCCAGTACCGAGGCCGCTGAGGGCTGAGAAGGTTGCGGCCGTATTTCTCCAGGATGTTCAGGGCCGTGGCCAGAGTGTTGAGGTAGTTTAGGGGCTGGGAGCAGCAGAGAGCAGAGATGTGAGCCCAGACCAGCCCTGGCCTCTGGACTTAGGTCCCCTTTCTGAGCCAGGCAGGGCCGGGCCTGACCTCACCTCCCCATGAGCGTTGCAGCTAACCAGTCGTGCGGCGTCCAGTAGCAGGTAGCGAGAGGCTGGAGGCAAGGAGGTGGCCAGTAGTGGCCGGAGCTGCTCCAGGGCAAATGTCTGTGCAGAATCCCTTCTCAGGGCGCTCGCCAGCTCCTCGCGGGCGGCCAGGAAGGTTTGTTCCTCCTCCCCCGGCATCCCGAGGCAGGAGCCAGCCCCAGCCTCGCCGCCCACCAAGACCCGGCGCGGGCTGCGCGCGGCCCGAGAGCCACCCCTCCCGCCTTCTGTCCTCTTTGCGACCTGACCCGCTCTCCGCAGCCGTCGAGGGGTCACTCAGGCCACGGTCACTAGCCCGGGGTCCAGCGTCAGGATTAGCCGGGAACAGGAAGTACTGGGGAGGAGGGCGGGACTGCGATCCGGCTCCAGAGGAAGAGGCGGGGTTTAAGGTTAAGGAGAGGGCCGGTCAAGAGCCAGGGGGCGTGATCATGATGAGCAGGTACCAACCAATGAGGAGGCAGACAGCCCCTGGCTCCAGCCCCTGGCTCCTCCCCCTGACGACCCTGCGTATTTCTCCAAGTCCACCGCTCTTCCCTCTTTCTCCAGGCTGGCTTCTGGGTAACCAGGAGAGGGGTTATCCCATTTTGCTCAAACTCTTCCTCTGTGTCTGTCCCCACTCGAGGAGTCCCACGCTGCCGGGGACCCGACTCTGGCTGAATTCATCCCGGCTAAGCGGTGTCCTCAAGGCAAGGCGTCCTCCTAGGAAAGTCCCCGCGCCTGCCCCCTTTCACATCCTTCTAGCCCTTAACGAGCCAGACCCTGCCTTTATGTCCCTCCCACTCGCTCGGATCCCTCTCCACTCCTTCCTCGCAGTGGAGCTTTCTCGGGGGACCTGGGTCGCCGGAAATTCCCTTTCTCATTCTCTCACCCCTCTCGTCCCAACCCTGGACTGTGCTTGGACGGCCCTCGCTGTAAGCCCTTCCTGTCTTCAAGGGACAGCCCCTGTTCCAGGCTCCGCGGCCTCACCCTAGTCCCTTCCTCGGACAGCCCCAGAGCTTGTACCCCAGCCCACCGCTCCTCCTAGTGGCAGCTGTCGTTATGGTTGAGGGGCACCTACGCTTTGCATCCTGCCAGGGGAAGGGGAAAAGGAGAAAGTGGGCGGGGCCGAAGGGGGTGGGCCTGGCCCCAGGGAGTGAAAGCGAAAGCCGGAGCCGCTAGCCCGGAGATCTAGCAAGTGGAGCAGCATGGCCAAACCTTGTGGGGTGCGCCTGAGCGAGGAGGCCCGCAAACAGGTAAAGGGCAGCCGGAGAACAGGAACGGGAAAGGGAGCCCCCCTAATGGAAGCCAAGCTGGGTGCTTCATGGGGCCGCGGCGAGTCCAGAGAACTCCCCCAACCTCTCGTTAGTGCTTTCACTTCTGCCCCTGACCCACAGATTTCTACCCTCTGGCTAGTCTCTGCACTGAGCAGAAGCTTTCAGGAAAAAGCTTGTGGGAAAATCCTGAGCCACAGTTGGAGGGTATCCTGTTGCGGGTGGGATCTTACGCTCGGCAACTGAAACCTTTAACCAACATCCGGGTACTGTTCTGCGTGCAGGTGGATGTCTTCAGACAAAACCTTTTCCAGGAGGTAAGTCTTTACGAATTCAAGCTATTTGCCCCAAAATCTTAGAGCAGTACTCGAACATCACAACCTCTCAGAGAAGCCCCCAAACTCATCCTAGACTTGGTCCCTATTTCCCTTACCAAGCTTTCACCCAAGGTGAGCTCTTACTTACTGATTTCTTCTTTTAACTTGACCTCTGTTAAGACTTTTCCCACTCCTCTCCTATCTTTTGAAGAGGAGGGAAAGGTGGCCCCCAGAGCAGGAATACCGTGTTCTAAACTTGATTCTGCCACCTACCTGCTTGGGCAAGTCCCTACATTTCCAGGGCTTCAGTTTCCTCATTTATAAGTCTGGGACTCAGTGATTTCCAGGGGGCTGTTGGGTCTCACTTCTCACATATCTCATCGCACATCTGATTCCCCACCCCTGCGATGTAACCTACAGGCTGAGGAATTCCTCTACAGATTTTTGCCGCAGAAAATCATATACCTGAGTCAGCTTTTGCACGTGAGTAGTGGGGGCCCTATGACCACCTCTGAGGCCCACACTCTCAGGCTGACAGCTGGGTTCAGCACTCAGGAATAGTTGTGAATGGTGGATTGCGAATGTTGGCATGGTATGAGCCTGAGCCTAGGCTGGGAGGCAGAGGGCAGACAATGTGTGGAGGGAGGGCTCAGGGCTCAGGGTGAGTGGAAGGGACTGGGTAACCCTGACAGTGAACTCTGTGCAGGAGGACTCCCTCAATGTGGCAGACTTGACCTCCCTTCGGGCCCCACTGGACATCCCTATCCCAGACCCTCCACCCAAGGACGATGAGGTGAGGAACTCAGGGCTCAGGGCTATGAGCCAATGAAAATGACCGCCCTTTAACCCCAATGACTTTTCTAAAGTACCATCCCCCATTTTGCCCTAGATGGAAACAGATAAGCAGGAAAAGAAAGAAGGTAATGGAAGACAAGATGGATAGGGAAGGGGAAAGGGCTCATTGACTACTGGATGAGAAAGGACTTGAATTCCCCCTTTCTCACAGTCCCTAAGTGTGGCTTCCTCCCTGGGAATGAGAAGCTCCTGGCCCTGCTTGCTCTGGTTAAGCCAGAAGTATGGACTCTCAAAGAGAAGTGCATTCTGGTAAGCTGGGGCACTGGGTTAAGTGGGAAGAGAAGACAAGCAAGGGGCCTGGGGATCGAGCTCAGTGGCACAAGCACCTGCCTGGCAAGCGCAATGTCCTGAGTTCAATTCCTGGTACCAAAAAAAAAAAAAAAAAAAAAAAAACAAGGCCCAGTTCTGGTAACCTTTAGGGATGTAAGTCTGTCGTTCAGTGACCTGGTCCTCATCAAGGGTACTTCTTTCTGTGTCTTGGGTTTAGAACCTCTTTTTCCTCATTCTGTTAGACCTAGTATTACATTTTTTCATAATTATTTTCTTTTTTCATTTGGTCCTTATATTATAATGGTACCTTTGGAATCAGAGACTGTGCCATATCCACTTCTATAACTCTAGAACCTACTGTTGTACCAGCTACACTGTGCAAATGATATGATATAGTGAGTTGGTTTAAAACCTTGGGTTGGGCTGGGGATGTGGCTCAGTGGTAGAGTTCTTGCCTTGCATGCACAAGGCCTTGGATTCAATCCGCAGTACCACAAAAACAAAATAAAACCTTGGGTTCAAATCCTGATCTTATCACTTAGCTGATATCCTTAAGTACTTAAACATTCTGTGACTCAGTTGTTTTGTCTGTTAAATGGGTACAATAAAATGTATACCTTAGATGTTTACTGTGATGACTAAATGACATGAATAATTCATAGTACGCCAGGGATGGTGGCACATTCCTGTAATCCAAGTACTTGGAAGGCTGAGGCAGGAGAATCCTTGTGAGTTTGAGACCAGCCTGGGCTACAAGGTGAGCTCAAGGCCAGCCTGAACTGCAGAGCGAGACCTAGTCTCAAAGACAAAAAGATTCATAGCACAATGCTGGGCACATAATAAATGCTCAGTCATTAGCAAGTGGTGGGCCGGGGATGTAGCTCAGTGGCATAAGCGCTTGCCTCACAAGCCTGAGGTCGTGAGTTCAATTCCCAGTACCAAAAAAAAAAAAAAAGTGGCATAATAGGAAGAATCTAGTAGGTTGATTGGATGATTCCTTCTCAACATAGGTGATTGCATGGATCCAGCACCTGATCCCCAAGATTGAGGATGGAAATGATTTTGGGGTAGCAATCCAGGTAGGAAAAGGTTGAATGAGGCTGGGCATGGTGGTGGACATCCATAATCCTAGCTACTTGGGAGGCTAAGGCAGGAGGAGTGCATGTTTGAGGTCAGCCTGGACCATTTAATAAGACCTTCTCTCAAAAAAAAAAAAAAAAAGAAAGAAAGAAAGAAACAAAAGGGCTGGAGATACAGCTCAGTGACGGAGTGCTTACCAAGCATGCATGAGGCCTCAAGTTCAGTCCTCGGGACTTGGGGTAGGGTGACTGACTGAGGACACTAAGGGGCGGGGACTTGGGACTAATAAGTGGCAGGCATGAACTATGAGGAGGGAGAGAGTGAGTGAAGGAATGAGATGAAGTGTTTTCTTTGCCCCCTATGTCACAACAGGAGAAAGTTCTGGAAAGGGTGAATGCAGTGAAGACCAAAGTAGAAGCCTTCCAGACAACCATTTCCACGTGAGGGCCCTGAAGGACCTGCATGGGGGGCTGCCGGGACATTTCCCAAAGCTAGACAGTCCCATCAGAATGATGGGAGACTCTGGGAAGGTGTGTGCATTCTGATCCTGTCCCTGAACACATACTCCTGTGGTACCCCTTGCTCTGGCAGGTACTTCTCAGAACGTGGTGATGCTGTGGCCAAGGCCTCCAAGGAGACCCATGTAGTAAGTGCATTGTCCCCAGTCTTCTAGCCAACGCTGGTGAGGGATGGGACTGAGGGCAGGGAGAGGAAAGAGGTTTTTCTGTCTTATTCATGACTTTCTTAATGTGTAGAATATTAAGCCAAAAGTATAGCCTATTTTTTTTAAAAAAGTAACAACCCCAAACAACAACAAATAAAAAGAAAAAAATAGCCAGGCATGGTGGTACACACCTGTAATCTCAGCACTCAGGAGGCTGAGGCAGGTGGATCACTGGAATTCTAAGCCAGCCTGGGCTACATAGTGAGATCCTGTCTCAAAAACAGAAATAAAAACGAAAACAAACCAGCAATGAAAAAGAGAAAGAAAATACATGAAAAAGAAAGTTGCCTAAAAAAAATGATCTGGACTTGAGCAATCTTGACACCTTTCCCTGCTTGATCCTGTGGGATCCCATTTAGTGCTGAGAAGGGACTTAGCTTCCAGGTACCTATCCCTTGCAAGAAGAAAGCAGACTAATGCGCCAGCCTCCCGGGGGGCTGACTCAGCTTTGCCTCCCACATCCCAGATGGATTACCGGGCCTTGGTGCATGAGAGAGATGAGGCAGCCTATGGGAATCTCAGGGCCATGGTGCTGAACCTGAGGGCCTTCTATGTGAGTGTGGAATAAGCCCCTAATGGAGATGGGTGGAGGGGGCTTAGGGAGGCCAAGAACCTAACACCTGCTCTTCTGCCTTTCCTCCAGGCAGAGCTTTATCATATCATCAGCAGCAACCTGGAGAAAATTGTCAACCCAAAGGGTGAGGAGAAGCCATCTATGTATTGAGCCCAAGACTAGCAGGAAAATAAACAACTTGTTCCTTGTATGGATTACCTCTGGTGTGTGTCATTAATGATAGCATATATCCAGTGCCATATACAGCCAGACACTGAGGCAAATGTAGTGGGAATGCGGAGATGCTGATTGCCTAGTTTTCCAGCCTTTTAACTGAGAAACCATCTATGGGTGGCATGTCAGCCATGCACATAACCCACATTTTGGAATTTAGGTTATTTCCATCTGGTGGTGTCATGGTAAAGGTGACATCTGGACAGAGTCCTTTTTGTAGGGAGTGGCTGAAGCTGGAAATTGATCACATCTGGCAGGGCAAGGCAAGGCAGTTCTGAACAAAGAGCTCCTGAGGCAAGCCACAAAAACAAGTTGTTCCAGCTCCAAATGTACTACGGTGGTTGAGCAGTTCCTTTCCTCCCATCAGGAGAGAGGGTTCCACCTGACCTCAGCTTTTGTATCTTTATGTCTAAATCCTCTCTGTCTCTGTCTCTGTCTCTGTCTCTGTCTCTGTCTCTCTCTCTCTCTCTCTCTCTCTCTCTCACACACACACACACACATACACATACACACACACCCAACATCGAGAGCTGCACCAGTTCACAGCACCTTTTAGGTAGTCAGGCTGGAGAGAGACAAAGGGAAAACTCTGTGGCTGAGGTCCACAGAGCTGTATCAGTTTGAGGCAGCCTGAGGGAAAGTGAGATTTCCCTGGGAAGACTGAGAGTGTAGGCAGGAGCATTGTTGGGTTTGGACTCTGACTGGGCAACTGAGGGAGAACCTGTACCCCCCGCCCCCCCAAAAAAACCCAGACTGGGCTGGTGATACAGCTCAGTGGCACAAGTGCCTGCCTGGCGAGCTCAAGGTCCTGAGTTCAATTCCTGGTACTAAAAAAAAAAAAAAAAAGACTGGGGATGTAGTATTTAATTTCCACCCCCAAAATAAATAATAATAAGTAAGAGTGAATGGTTAGACTCTTTCTCAAGGGCTGGCAGGGGGATGAAGTCCTTCAGAGGCATTATGGTAAAGGAAATGTACCACAGGACATTAACGATGACGTAGATTTTTGTTTTTGACTCTTTCGGCCTCTCATTCGGCCATTTGTCTTTATATCTGCCTTTCGGATTGTACTCTGAATGTGGCAAGGATTCCTCTGCTGTGATCTTTGCTGTAACTCCACGGAACTGTCTTTAACTTCGGGCCTTGTCCCGTTTTAAAATACAGGATAAGAACGTGCTACACAACCCTCGGCAGTTTGGGAGTCGGTGCTCACACCTACCTCATCTAATAGGCAGCAGTTATTACCTTAAGGAAACCAAGTGCCAGGTAACCTACAGTTGGGAAGGTAACCCAGCTCATCAGTCAGTGACAGAGCTGGTCTAGAGCGTCGATCCATTCATCCTAACTAACACTGGCGAGGCGGTCCACTTTGTCCCCACCTTGAAAGGTCTACAGAACCGGGCCGGCTCTCCCGGGGCCTGCGGGTGGCGGGCCGCGCAGGTAAGCAGAGAAGGCACCCTGCAATCCGCAGAAGCCAGCCTAGCTACAAGCGTTCTCTTCTTTCCCTTCCAAAGGTGCATCTCTCCAGTTCGCTTGAAATCAGGGCGGAGTCAGGCTTGGATGCGGCTACTGATAGAACACAACGAAAACTTCTAGGCCTATCAAAGAGTACAACGTGGGCGGGACCGCGGCATAGGCCTGGCCAGGAGCAGGCGCAGACCTGCGGTCGCGCGGAGGACCAGCGGGCAGGGCTGGCGCCTCGGGATGCCCTGGAGGCCTCCGGCGGGCCGCGCGGTGGGCAGGCGCGGGACAGAGGCAGCGCGGAGCAGTCACCGTGACCCAAGCTAGGGGGCACGGAAAGGCCGAGTGCGGTGGCGTGGGGGTGGGAACCGCACGCTCGGGCTTGCGGAGGCCCCGCAGGCTCCGCTCACAATGGGGGAGGTGGAGATCTCGGCCCGCGCCTACGTGAAGATGTGTCTGCACGCCGCCCGGTACCCGCACGCTGCGGTCAACGGGCTGCTGCTGGCGCCAGCGCCGCGGTCCCGAGAGTGCCTGTGCCTCACCGACTGTGTGCCCCTCTTCCACAGTCACCTGGGCTTGTCAGTCATGCTGGAAGTCGCCCTCAACCAGGTGCCGCGGCTGGACGCACACCCACACCGCGAGCCCCCTAACGCCCCTAGCCCCAGTTCGTGCCAAACCCTTGGCAGCAGTGCGCACCCACAGAGCCGGCGGTGCGATTCAGTTACTGATGGCCCCTTTCCCACGACAGGTGGATGTGTGGGGCGCGCAGGCCGGTCTGGTGGTGGCTGGGTACTACCATGCCAATGCAGCTCGGGACGACCAGAGGTGAGTGGGAGAGCCGAAGGCAGAAGGCGCAGGACCGCGGCGGGGGTGGGCTGGCTGCATGCAGATGAACCATGGACATTCCTTCTACCTTTATCAAAAGTTTAGGAGCAGGTTCTGTACCCCAGGCGCTGTGCTGAGCACTGGAGCGAGGAAATACGAGAATGAACAGGACAGACCCCTACTCATAATAGGAGGAGCTGTGGTCGGGGGTGAGGATGGCAGATGTGTTTCAACAAAGTGCTCTTGGGGGCTGGCGTTTAGCTCGGCGGCACAGCCCCTGCCTGGCAAGCGCGGCGTCGTGAGTTCGATTCCCGGTACCGGAAAACAAAAACAAACAAACAAACGAAAAATCAACAAGGTGCTCTTGCTTTAATTAATTAATTTTTGGGGTCTTTTTGAGGCAGGGTTTTGCTATGCAGTTCAGGCTGGCCTTGAACTCACTTTGTAGCCCAGGCTGGCCAGGAACTCGCAGTGATCTTCCTGCCTCAGCCTCCTGAGCGCTAGGATTACAGATGTGCACCACCACTCCCAGCTTGATCTTGCTTTGTGATGCCCCCAACTAGCAACTTAAAAAGAAGACTTTATATATGATGTTTATCATGTATAGAGATCAAATTAGAAATATAATTTTACAGTTTTGTAATTTGGTTTACTCCCTCACTTAATAGATATTTAAAGCTAAGCTAGTGGTGCTGGCCTGTAATCTCAGCACTCTGGGAGGCTGAGGCAGCAGGTTTGAAAATCTGAGCCAAACCTGGGAAATTTAGAGACTTAGCAAGACACTAACTTAAAATTAAAAATAAATTGGTCACTCATGTATAGCTCTATTTCTTTAAAAGCCACTTTGAAGATACCAAAGTATAGTACAACAACTATTGATAATCTCCTACACCTTTTGTCTGTAACTTACTATTATTTGTCTATTTGTTTTCCTGAGAAACTACCTTGTAGATAACAATATGTAAAACAGTAACCATTGATAATTTCCTACCACTTTGTCTATAATTTGGTAAGCCCCCCCCTATTATTATGTTATCCTTCTTTTACTCTTTAAAATAAAAAATTTTTTAAAAAAATTAAAAACAAAGAGTGGGCTGAGCCGGGCGTGGTGGGCTAGGCCTGTAATCCCAGCACTCAGGAGGCTGAGGTGGGAGGATCGTTGTGAGTTCGGGACCAGCCTGGGCTACAAAGTGAGCTCAAGGCCAGCCTGAACTACATAGCAAGACCCTGTCTCAAAAAGAGAAAAAAAAAAAAAAGTAGGCTGAGGATGTAGCCTGTGCAAAGGCCCTAGATCAGTCCCTAGTACTGCAAAAATAAAAAAATATTTGACATCTTTCCAGCTCCATACCACGACCTACCTTAACAGCTATATAGTATAAATTACCATAGTATAATTACTATCGTATAATTATAGTATAATTGTTACAGTATTATTATGTAGTATGAATATGAATAGATTATAATTTATTTAATACCTTACACTAAACACTGAGGTTGTCTCCAGGCTTTTACTGTGACCATCCTGTTACAGTAAATTCTTTATAAGTGGAATTTCTTGTTTAGCATATGTATAGCATACAGTTTCAATTTGGATGGCTATATCAAATTACCCTTCAGAAAGACCACCTTTCGTTTCCATTCTCACCAGCAGTGTCTGAGCGCCTTTTTCCCATTGCACACAAGCATCAACCAGTCATATATCAAGGACAGAGGGAGCCCAACCCCCAGGCCAGCCACAGGGAAAGGCCATGACTGTGCCCACACCCATGAGATCCAGGAGGCACAGCTCCGACGTAGGGGTCGGTTCACAGTCGGATCCTCACTCTTCTCATCTTCTCTCTGCACAGCCCGGGGCCACTGGCCTTGAAAATCGCTGGGCGAATTGCAGAATTCTTCCCTGATGCAGCACTTATTATGGTGAGGCTTAGGTTTCAGGGTAGGGAGGTGGAGAGAAGGAAGGAGGAAGATCCTTGAAACCTTCACCTGCCTTTCTTTGTTCACCTAGTTAGATAATCAGAAACTGGTGCCTCAGCCTCGTGTGCCTCCAGTTATCGTCCTGGAGAACCAGGGTCTCCGCTGGGTCCCCAAAGACAAGAACTTGTGAGTGCCCTGTTTCTTCTACCTGGTTTTGGAATCCCATGGCTCCCGGGCCTTCTCGGTCCTTCGTCCTGACTTAACCTGTTAAGTCTGTCTGGCCCCACTGCCCACTATTGAACCTCTATGAGCCTGCCTTCCTATCCCCTTTCCCTCCCTCCCTTCCTTTCTTCTCTCCTCTCTCCCTTTCTTCTTCCTTTCTTCCTTTCCTCCCTCCCTCCTTTCTTTCTTCAGTACTGGGGATTGAATCTAGGGAGCATTGCACTCCATCTCCAGCTCTTCTTGATTCTGAGGCAGGATCTCATTTACTTGGCTGGACTCGAACTTGTGATCCTCCTGCCTTTGCCTCCGGAGTAGCTGGGATTATGGGTGCGCATGACACACGGGGCCTCGAACTTGTGATCCTCCTGCCTTTGCCTCCAGAGTAGCTGGGATTATGGGTGCGCATGCCACTGAGTTTTCTCTTTCAGAGTGATGTGGAGGGACTGGGACCAGTCACGGCAGATGGTGGGGGCACTACTGGAGGGCCGGGCCCACCAGCACCTTGTGGACTTTGACTGCCACCTTGATGACATCCAGCAGGACTGGACCAACCAGCAGCTCAACAGCCAAATCACCCAGTGGGTTGGTCCCACTAATGGAAATGCCTGAGCTAGGGTCAGGGAGGCCAGGATCCAATAAAGAGACTTGGGCTGATGGGCAACTGTATGACTGTATTTATTGTGCTTAGGAGACAAAGTGAGGGAGAAACTTCAACAGGAGAAAGGTAGGGGAAAGGCTGGAGTCCCCAGTAAAAAGAAGGTCGGGCTCTGCTATGCCCATCCCAGTGAGAGCAGACACCTTCAATAAATCATTCCCTTTGTTTCTCCGCGGGGCTTCTTGAGCTTCTCAAAGTTCTTCAGGATGATGTCGTATAGCACAGCCTACAGAGCCAGGGTGCAGTGGGGGTCAGCCACAGGCCTGCAGGGTTCTCTGCCCCATTTCTAGTCTTGTGGAGAGGCTAGGCTTTGTCATCCTTTGCCTGCAGCCTGCAGGATCAGGGAGCAGATGGCCTGGGACATGTGCCGTAGCCCACCCCTGCCCTGCCCTCCCCTGCCCCGCCCTCCCCTGCCCTGCCTCCTCACATAAGCATTGCGGATCTCCATGACCATCAGCCGGATGTCCCGGTACTCTGCCTCATCCAGCTCATGCACCAGCTGCCGATAATCACCCTGTGGAAAGTTGGGGTCAGGCCTGACTTGAAATGTGTCCTTCCCCTGTGAGCCCTGACCTGAGCTTCACCTACCACATGGGGCTGCTTGGCTGCTTTGGTTACTGCGTCACCACGCTCAGAGAAATACCTGTGGAAAGCAGAAGCGGTGTGTAAGGAGCGGGAGAAGGAAGGGGAAGCCCAGGGCTGTGTTCCCAAAGAGGCCAGGGTGTGCAGAAGAGTGCAGGGGGCTAGTTACGCACTTTGAGATTTGAGTGTGGAAGCCTTCTAGCTTTGTGTGAAGGCTGGTCATCAGTTCAAACACTTTCTCCTGGGAAAGGAAATACGGAGGAAAGATTAGGGGAAGTGGAAGGAAGCACGGACTTCACAGCAGGGCAGGGAGGTGGGGGCGCAGTGCTCCTACCTGGACGGCCACCCCAAAATTATTTCCATCCTCAATCCGAGGTATCTGTAGCTGCAACCAGGTAGTGACCTGGGGAGAAGGAATGGTATCAAAACCACATCAGCCAGTTCCCAGGTTCCTTTTGTCCCTTGCATCCCTGCCCATGCAGGGTGGCAGGATGCCAGGTCATCCTGAGCCCCAGGGCCTGGACTGCTAGCTTCGCTTGATGTGCCCTCTCCTACTGAGACCTGGCAAGTACCATGCCCTAACTGGCAGGGACTAAGGGGACAAAGGACTCGACCTGAATGCCGCCTGGGGGTGGAAGTAGGAGGGCTCACCAGGTTGAGCTGCTCAATGACATCTTTGATCTCGGGCTTCAGGCGCTGCAGGAGGAGTACGATCTTCTCGTTACAGTTCACTGGGCCACAGGGAGGACCTAGCAAGTAGGCAGAGGGTCAGTTCTACAACTGAGCCTGTGTGAAAGTGAGGGAGAGTGGAAAGGAATCTTCAGGGCTAGGGTGGGATGCAGGTCTGCCCACCACATGAATTTCAAGTACCTTTGTCTTCATCTTCCCCTTTCTTCTTCTCATCCTTGTTTTCCTTCTACAGGGAGAGAGGAGTTTATGGGAGACAAGACTAAGGCTGATTTTCCCACGGTCAGGCCCTTCCTCCCAGGTCCTGCCTTGCCTCCTGCTGTTTCTTTCGCTCCTCCTTCTCTTTTTCTTTGGCTGGATCCGGTATTGGAATGTCCAGGGGGGCCTTCAGATTGTTCAGGTTGGCTTCATTGAGAGCTGGATCCTGGCGCAGGGTGAGAGGAGGAGTTGAAAATGAGGTTGTCCCTTTCACCTCTTTACTGGCACGATCCCCCATACTCTCCTCTTGCCCTCTAGCTTCCTGCCTCGCCCCTGATACCTTTAAAAATGCATCCAGCTCAGAAATCTTCTTGGGGAAATAGCTCCCGAGCAGGTTCTCTGCCTGAGGTGGAGGTTGAAGAGGTGGGGGACGGGGGAGTCGTCAGAATCACATGCTTTTCTTAGGCAATAAGGCCAGGGTGACACTGCCCCACATGGAGGGCTGCGTAGAGGGAGCTGGGTAGGGGTAGTGATGGAACTCTTACCTTGGTGCACAGATCTTCACGAAACACATCCACCTGTGGGGCACAGGCAACCCTTCAGAAACCGGTTCATTTGGGAACACTTTTCTTAGGGTTGTGGGGGGCCTGACCCGGGGAAGAGTAAAGTGGGTCCCTCTAAGGCCACACCTAAAGAAGGTGAGATGTGTCCCCTGAGGGTGGACTGGGGTGGTGGAAACCTGGATCTGGAGAGGGTAGAGTGGATCCCCGTCGGGCTGGATTTGGGGATAACATTCCCCGTGGTGAATGGGGAGTGGGGTCTCCTGGGCTGTGTGAAGAGCGGTGCCCTGTGGAGTGGGTCCCGAGGACCCCGCCCAAGGGAGAAACCAGGAGGTGGGAGGGTCAGCCCGGCCCCGCGCTGTGTGGGGCCCCGGCCAGCGTGGTTCCCCTTCACGCCAGCTCCCTGCTCCACCTCGCCCCGCTGAACCAAGGCAGCCTCGCCTCTCCCCGGGGAGCAGGTGCCCGGGACACCCTGGACTCGGACCGACCCGACCAGGTAGGGTCTGGTCGGAGAAGCCCGCAGCCCCTCGGAGCCACGCCCCCAGCGGGCCCTCCTTGGGTCCGCCCGCTCACCTTGGCTTGGGCTTCAGGCTGGACCCTGAACGTGGCCATGGCCGGGGCAGGGGCCCAGCGCGCACGAGGAGCCAGGAGCGGGCACGGGGAAGGGAAAGCGAAAGCAGCACTCGCCACCGGCGCCGTCTTCCTGGGTAGTGGGGAGTGGAGCGCCGGGAGGAGGCGGGGACAGCCCGGGGCTGAGGGGAGCGCAGGAAGGCGGCCGCGGCTGGGGGCTCCCCCTAGAGCCGCCCAGGAGCGTTTCCGACCGCCCCTCGCCGCCCGGCCCTCGCTCGCGCCGCCTCCCGCAGCTGCCAGCCTGCAGCCGACCCGCCTCCGCCCCGCCCCATCTCCGGTCTGCTCCCTCTTTCCCGGCCGGACCTGGGACGAGGAGGATATCTTCACGTGGCGCTCTTCCAGCCTTTCCGAGCTGGCCTCGCTTCCCCAGCCCTACCGGCGTGCTCCCCTGGCTGCACAGGCATCGTCTGCCCCATAGACGCTGGCACCATCACTGTCCAAGCCAGTCAGCTCTTCCAGGGCGGTTGCTGCAAACTCGGTTCCTCTATACCCCACCTTCCCCGAGCGGGGGTTCGCGCCTCTGCAGCGTGAAATCTTAAGCTTTCTTTCCTAGCCTACTGACACCTGCCTCCCCTTTCAAGTTCTCTTTCTTTTTTTTCGGGGGGGGGCCGGTTTCCGGTACCAGGAATCGAACTCACGACCTCGCACTTGCCAGGCAGGCGCTGTGCCGCTGAGCTAAATCCCCAGCCCTCAAGTTCACTTTCTTCTGCTCGCCCTCTCGTTCTTTACACTTGGGCTTTCCATGTGTTTCTCAGAGGCATCCTGCTTATCCCTGCCTCAGGGACTGTGCCCCTGAGAAACCTTTGCCTAAAACATCCTTCCCCTCGTGGCATCCTTCAGTTCTCTGCTCAGATGTCTCCTCTTCGGAGAGAACTTTCTCCATCGTTCTTTATAAAGTGCAGTCCTCCAAGTCTATTACAAACCAGCCTTTTTAAGTACCTTCAAAGCACTTTCTCTTTAATATTAGCCAGTTTTGTTTTGTTTTGTTTTTGAGAAAAGATAATGTGGTTTTAAACAAGGGCTGGCCGTTTTCCTGTGGGTGTCAGATGGTAAATACTTTAGGTGTTGTGGGCTTTTAGAGTGTCTGTAGCAACTTACCCAAATTTGCCACTGTAACAAGAAAACGTCCCATGTGCCTGGATTAGTGTGACTGTGTCCCAGAAACATTTATGGGCGCTAGAATGTGAATTTCATGCAGTTTTCACGTCATAAAATATTATATGATGTTTTAAAACCATTTAAAAATGTAAAAACTACCTTGGCTTGCCAACCACACAAAAACTGGCCACAGCAGGGCCATGGTTTGCTAATCTCTGGTTTAGAACACGAGCAATAAACCCATATTGTCTGGATTTGTAATCCTGGCTCTTCTGTCAACCTCTGTGCGGGTTTTCACACTGTACAATAGGAAAGCTACTAAATTCAGTTTACTGATGAGGATTAAATGTGTTCATTGATACATAAAGAAATTACCAACACTTAGTGCCTGGTATAGAGTAAGATCAGTGCAAGTGTTTGTATTTTTGTGTTAGGTGTCTCTTTCAGTTAGCTCATAAATCCCCAAACAATAGAAATTGTGTCTTATTCACAAGACACAGAACTATGCTTGGCTCAATAAACATTTGTTAAATAATTAAGCACAAACAGAGCCCCCTACAAAGGACACAGTTTTCCTGTAGGTGGTCAGATGGTAAATACATCCCTGTCCAGGGTGGCCGGGCCAGGCAGGCTCATGCCTGAGGAAGGCAGAAGCTGAAGGTGGAGCACCTGCTCAGTAAAGGACACACACACACAGGGCACTGTCACCTGCCTTAGCATTTTGTGGTACTGGTGATTGAACCCAGGGCCTTTGCTCTGAGAGCTATATCCCCAGCCCTCAGCACTTTTTTTTTTTTTTTTTGAGACAGGGTCTTGCTAAGTTACTAAGTTACACAGCCTGGGGTCAAATTTGTGATTTTCCTGCCTCTGTCCCTCCAACTGTTGGGATTACAGGCATGCACCACCATGCCTTGCTGCACCATTCCTTGATATGGCACACACAGGTAATCTCAGCGCTAGGGAGGCTAAAGCAGGAGGACTAATGTGAGTTCAAGGTCAGCCTGGTTTACATAGTGAGTTCAAAGATTGCTTGAGCTGCACAGTGAGACCCTGTCTCAAAAAAAAAAAGAAAAAAGAAAAAGGGCCCCACACAGAAGACTGAAAGGGCAGTAGGAGTAGAGTTCATGCTCCAGGAAGAATATCCAAGACTGATGAAAGCAAAGAAAGAAGAAACTCAGGGCCCCAGATCCTTTTCTTACCCTTCCCACCCTTTCCAGGCCCCCAATTAAAGATGAAAGGAGACAGAGCCAAGCCTGATGTGCCTTTATTTCTTTTCATTTATGCTTGCGGCTGGAGTGTGCACGGGGAAAGAGCCCGTGGCCGGGGCTCCCTGGAGACCAGGGCTGATGATACCAGCTGCCATAGGTGAGGTACCAGGCAAAGGTGCCTACTGCCGCGCCCACCACCTTGTGAGTGTACTGGTGGAAATAGATGACGGTACAGAGCAGCAAGAAGTTCCAGAGGCCCAGCAGCAGCACGTTGAGCAGGAAGACAAGACGCAGGGGGGCGCCAGCAGGCAGCCCGTGGGCCAGGTACTTGGCAAACACCGCTGCTTCTTCGGCCATGAGCAGGCAGCAGAAGGTGAGCAGGAAGGTGTGGGAGGAAACCGTGTACCCCCGCCACTGGTGGCCAGCTGCTAGGCAGCTGCGGCGGTCTGGCAGCTCATGGAGCAGCAGGCCCTGGGGCAGAGGCTCAAAGCAGGAACCAGTCAGGTCCTCGATGAGCAGGAAGGCTCGGCCGGCGCCCCGCCACACGGCAGCCCCCACCACTAGTCGGCTCAGGTGCCTGGCAGTCACTGCTACACGCCGAGTAGCCAGGAACACCACCAGCAGCACAAAGCCCCCCAGGAAGGTGCATGTCCAGCCCCACGCCGAATTCACAAACTTTCTATGGGCAGAGAAGAGGGAAGACTATTGAGATCCCCCAGCTGCAACCCCCATCCTGGTCTGTGTTCCACCACTGCTCTGTCCCCCGTCTTACACGCTGTCACTGGTTCTCTTCCCCATACCCTTTACCACCCCCAGCCACTTTTAAATTGACATCTCCTTAGAGGACCACTCAGCCTTGTTGGGTCCACATTTCCTCCTCAGCGCTACTCCTGTACCCCAGGCTTGGTGCCCTTCCCCCTCCCCCTGACCTCAACCTCCATGCCTATTTTTAGTGTAAAGACTGGCAGGAGAGCAGAAGCCTGGAGAAGGGAGCTGCGATCCCAGAATGCAGGGAGCCTGCTCCCACGCCCGAGTGGACTCACATGTTGAAAAAGTTGCCGTGGCTGGCGAAGATGGTCCGGGAGTTGACATGGAACTGCAAAAGCGGCCCAAAGATGACTACTGCTGCCAACCAGGCATGGTAGAGGCGGCGTAAGCAGGGGCTGCCTAGGAGGCGGGCAGCCTGTTCACTTCCAAAGTACAGCAAGGCAGAGGCCACCCAGAGCAGCACCTTGACCAGGCAGCCCAGCAGCGCCCGGATTCGGGCCCCGGTCCCCGGCCCTGCCCCCACCACCGGCCCCCGCTCCATGTTCCCTCCCCTCCCCACTAACTGCCTGCTCTGCTAGGCAGCTGAGGAGGGGCTGATGGGGCCCCCCCGGGCAAGGACAGGCAGTGACAGGTGTGGCAGACACAGGGCAGAGCCCTGTTGGCAGCTGGCAGGCGGGGGAGAGGGGTGGGGGGCGGTAAGGGGCCAGGGTGAGGGCTGCTGCATCAGCAGTGGCCTGGCCTCGGGTGTGTGGTAGTGTCCTGACAACAGCGCGTGTCCTTCCCTGTCAGCCCTGTGTCTTTAGCTCCAGCCATGTTCTAGTTCACATCTCAGGGCCCAGCTTGCTGTTCAGGGCTGTCCTTGTCCATGTCCTGCTTGGGTCTGCCTGCCTTGAGTCAGCCAAAGTCTCTACATGTTTTTGCTCCACAGGGAAGGCTGGGGTCATGAAGATAAAACGAAAGTCATTAAAACAAATCTAGGAGCTCTGTCCCTTCTCCGGGGGTCCTGAGCAGCAAGGTGCCTGCGCAGAGCTCTGTGTCCACCACAGGCCATGGGAGGCCTGTTGCCAAGGGTATCCACTTCAGTGTGCTGTGACCTAATGCTTGGACAAGTTCTGGCTCCTGTCTGGACTCAGGGGCTCTCAAGGGCTGGCTGGCCCACGACTGCCATGCAAACTGGTGGTTGTGCAATGAATGAACAGGGCATCACGTCCAATGGGGCACTGTTTGTGCCTGAAGATTAACAATGAACTGTAGGTACTCTGAGAAAGGAATCCTATATGAAATGATGGTAACTGGGTTGGACATTCATGGCTCTAAAGATCAGGTTTACTCTCAGGTGGAGTGGAAGAGATCCTCGGGAAAAAGTGTTATTCGGAGTCCCATCAAAACATTAGATTCTGTCCTCCACCGGCCTCCGAGGCTGACCAAGGCTGAAGCAGCAGAGTGGAGAGCAACCTACCCAGTTAAGTCCCTGGTAATCGAAACCTGTTTCTTGATCACTTCTTGTTTTTCTTCCTCATTCTCTCCCAACGCTAGTGGTGGGACTGCAGAGCACAGTGGAGGCCCAGTAGGTAGTGCAAGGAGTGAGCAAACAAGGACATGTGGGTTGTGGGCTCAACTGTGTGTGACTTTGGGAAAATCAGCTAGCCCTTTTCTGCCCTCAGTGCCTCATTTGTAAACTGATCAAGATAGATTAGACAACCAGTCAGGCTCCGTCCAAACCCTAAAGGCCACACCCCAGCAAAGTGACCTTCAAATCTTACTGCTCTAAGAGATCTGAACCTGGGCGCGGTGACACATGCCTTGAATCCCAGCACTCTGGGGAATGAGACAGGAGGATTCCAAGTTCAAGCCCAGCCTGGGCAATTTAGGGACATGATGAGACCCCCCTGTCACATAGCAAACAATAAAAAAAGAGCTTTCAAGGGCTGGAGATGTAGCTCACTGCTTGCCTAGAATGCAAGAGGCCCTGGTTTGAACCCACCACTGGGGGAAAAAAAAGTTTTAAAGATCAACAGGCCTCCTCACATATTTTTAAATGCACACAAAATACTTCACTATAATTTTAAGTAGCTGAAAAGGACATACCTTCCCCTGTGTTCTGTATGCTGACGTTTCTTATTATAGCATTTTTTTTTTCTTGTGATGTTGGGGATAAAACCCAGGGCCTCTCATACGCTAGGCAAGTGCTTTACAGCTAGGCTATAGCCTTAGTCCTATATCACTCTTTTAAATATGTCCAACAAAATCTAAATACTACAGCAATGAGATACTTCACTATTAGCCACTTAAAAAACATGTTATAAGAGCATAAATTAGATATCATATTTCCATTGTACTTCCTAGAATTTATCCTGTTTTTATAGTTAAGTCTTTTATTGATCAGTTATCGTACTTCTTAGCAAAAAAAATCCCCATATAATTTAATTTTTAAAAAATTTCCTGTGACCTGGGCATAGTATCTCACACCTATAATCCAAGCACTTGGAAGGCTGAGGCAGGAGTATCACCTTGAGTTTGAGGCCAGCCTGGACTAGTGAGTTCAAGGCCAGCCTGAACCACACAGGGAGACCTTGTCTCAAAAAAAAAAAAAAAAAAAAAAAGGTTTACACATTTTGCTAACAACGTGAGATTGTGCTGGAAATGCCTCTGATGGGGAATAGATGGTCTGTGGGGCCTTGATGATACTAAGTTTTAAGGATACAAACAATTTTGTCATTTAATTTAACACCCTGGATGTAATACAGGTCTAGGTGAGCTAGGTAGGTAGCATTTAGTGGGTGAAGTGACAGAGTACTGAAATGGCATGTGGGAAAGGATATCTGACATGATAGCTTCACACTAGGCAGATTGAGGAAAGAGAACAGAAAGAAGCCAGGAATCTGGACATTGATTTGGAGCCAGGCATGGTGGTTCATGCCTGTAGTCCCAGCTACTCAGGAGGCTGAGGCAGGAGGATCTTTTTTTTTCGGTCTTTTTGAGATAGGGTCTCACTATGCAATTCAGGCTGGCCTGGAGCTCACTTTGTAGCCCAGGCTGGTCTTGAACTCGGAATGACAGGAGGATCATTTGAACCAGGAGTTTGAGACCAGCCTGGGCAACATTGCAAAATCTCACCTTAGAACAAAAACAAAGACCTAAAGGAACAAAACCAAAACCCCTATTTGGTCATGAGATAGGTACCTGTCTTAGTTACTTTCTGCACTGCTGAGGTACAATACCCACAATTACATCAGGGAGTTTATTTGGGCTCATGATTTTTAGAGGTTTTGGTCTGAGGCCAGGCGTGGTGGTGCACATCTGTAATCTCAGCACTGGGGAGGCTGAGGCAGGAGGATTGTTGCGAGTTCGAGGCAAGCCTGGGCTACAAAGTGAGCTCAAGGCCAGCCTGAACTGCATGGCGAGACCCTGTCTCAAAAATACCAAAAATAAAAAAATAAAAAAATAAATAGAGGTTTTGGTTTGAAACTGGCTGGCTCCAAGGCAGGAGGAGCATGGCAGAAACGCCTGCCAAGGATGGAAGCTGCTCGACGGCAGCAGAGCCAGGAGGAGCGGGAGGCACAACCTTATGGCTCACAACACAGTTAACCTGCTTCTTCTGACTACCCCACGCCTCTAAGAGTAAGTCAGCTACAGTGCTCCCCTCATCAGGTCACCCTCCAAAACCTTGCCTCTGCATGCAAGACTCTAGGGGTACTCTAGATCCAAACCATAACAGCACTCCTTCTACCTCTTGCTGGGACAGCCTATGAGCACCCCAAAAGTGTGTATCCTGGTTTGAAAACTCCTTACAGAGCATGACAGGCTGTGGGGAAAGTTCTAGTCAGAGCAGGGTGTGAATCCCATCCGCTCCTGACCTTTGTTCAGTTTGCTCTGGGGCCAGAGGTTCTGAGCGGGAGGCAGCTGGACGGGACACTGCAGGCCAGGTTCTCTGGCCCTGTGTGAAGCCACCTCTTCAGTCTTACAAGCACCTCTTGTGAACACTGGAGCTGCTCCAGAGCAGAGGAGGTGCCGGCATTCGTAGGCTCTAATAGAAAACATGTTTGCCCTCCATGTGCACATGCAGGACAATTTCTGAGCATGGTGAGGGAGAGCCTATTGCAAAACTCAATTAATAAATGAATTTATGGGCCGGGGATGTAGCTCAGAGACACAAGCACCTGCCTGGCAAGCACAAGGTCCTGAGTTCGATTTCTGGTACCAAAAAAGATGTTAGTACTTTTTTTTCATCTTGAAATATAAAAAGGAAACCTGCAGACTTCATGAGAACTATTTTCTTGAAGTAAGAGGACAAAAGATCTCAGACAGGAAAAACAGTGAGACAGGGACACTAAGCCAGGTTCCCACAGAGAGTTTATTGAGGGAGCCAACGCCAGTGAGAGGACAAGGGAGTCCTACTTCAACCTCTGCCCTTGAAGCTACTGGCCTCCAGCATGACAGGAGCCTCTGGGAAGCTAGGACCTGGCCTGTGTGGTGCCACACACAGCTTTGCAGACTCCTGCCCTTCACAGCACAGCCTGTCCAACCCCAGTGATCCAGGCATGGTAATGGGAGACCTTATCCCCACCCCAGGAGGGTGGTGAGGAGATACCTCTACTCACCCTGCCCTTCCTCAAGGCCTCAGAAAGCAAGGCCAGGACACTTAGCCCTCTGATGGGCCAATCTAATCCTCAGTGTGACAACCTGGTCACTCAGACCTGACCTCAGGTGTCTACTCTAGGAGCCAACACCTCACATACAAACATGATTAAAAACACTCAGGATAGTTCTCTTGCTGGCAGAGGCCACACCTGAGATAATGGCAGTCCTGCCAGACCCGGGTCAGAGATAGGGACCCAAGCAGAGCGGGTGTGAATGCATGAGGAAACTAGTCAGCCCACGGAGTGGATCCTCCAGGGCTCATCTGGGGCCCAGAGCTTGGGCTGCTGTTTCATGCCATCCAGTGCCAGTGACTCCTCCACATGTTCCCCAGAAAGGAAAGCGGGGAGGAGCCAGAGAACTTGGTGAGAGGTTCACCCTGTAATAGACTAAAGGTCAGAAGGGTCTACTGGGGTGAGGAAAAGGCCGTAGAGGGGCGGGTGGGGGGACTGGAGCATTCCTCAGACTCTGGCATGTCATCCTGGAAGTACTCAGCCTGGCGGTACTGCCACAGACGCAGGCTCCCGTCCCACTGCAGGGCAGAAGGTGGCAAGTGTCAGGGGGTACTGCCCCTTCCCAGGTCCAAGCCCCACAGACACACTGGACCCAAACAATCTGAAGCTCACCGAACTGCTGACAATCTTCTCTTCAAAGGGGTGCCAGCTGACATCACGCACACAGGCCTTGTGGTTGGTCAGCTTCTTCACAATGTGGCCACTGAGCAGGTCATACACTGTCCAGGAAAGGCCCGAGTGGAGAGGGGCTGCCACAGCGCCTCCCGACCACGCCTCAGCTGCCTGAGTGGCACCACTGCCCTGCCTCTCGGGCAACTCCCCACTTTCCCAATGGGGCAAAGCTCAACCCAGAGACTGGTATTCGTTTTCTTTCCTGTTCCTTTATCTACCTTGGGGTGAGGACATGGTGTACTACAGTGTGGGTATCCCTGACGCTTTATTAAAATTCAGAGGCCTACGGTTAAGAAAATGCAGTGTCTTTCAAGTTTTTAGCAAGATATGGAAGGCAGCAAAAGTGAACCCCGGGCTGTCTGCATGCGTGTGCACCTGCGGCTCCTTGTGGGGACAGGGTACATCTCTCTTTCGCAGCCTGGGTCTCTGTCTGAGTAGCTGCTTAGGTGCAGCGTGCTGGCAGGTCCTTCTGTCTACAGCTCTGCTCGTGTTTCTGTATGTGCACTCCTCCTGCTCCAGTGACTGTGCTTCCTTTCTTACTCAATGCTGTCTTTTTGTGTCATTCTCTTTGCCTCTGTTCCCTCCTACCTTTCATCTGCAAACCCTTTCCTAGACTGTCTAAAAAACAAAACCAACTATATTTTTGGTAGTCTATTGTATTTACTGACTAGAATCCTATGTTCCTTTTCTTATTTTAAAGTGCTCATAAATGGAAAGTTTTTCCTTTCTCTGTTTAAGCCTTTCTTGCTCCTAGCAAAATAAAATTGCACATGTAATTCTCATTAAGCTTTTTAAGGTGGTCACTGTGGTTATAGGGGGAAAATCCAAGTAACATCCTGCCCTTTCTGAGGCCCAACTGTCAAAATCCTTACCAACCACTTTGCCAGTGGAGCAGCCACTGTAAATGAACTGCTGGCCCGTACTGTGCGTAGGGGAGAATCGGCAGCGGATGAGGGTGTGCAGCACCCCATGGCCCCGGTAGGTCATCAAGGAACTGTCCCCTGGGAGCTTCAGCTTCCGCCAGGCTGGTAAAGATGTACAGAGAGCCAAGATTAAGGAGCCTGCTTCTGGACTGTCCTGTCCCCACAGCCCTTAGCAAAAGACTCAGGATCAATTGCCTTTCTAAACTTAACTAATGACTCTTTTGCTATCCTAGAGTTGGCAGTCACCAGTGCAGTCCTGCGGTCATAATACTAAAACATTTTTGTACTGGTTCAGTAAATAAAGGGTTAATGCCTGGACAAGCAGGTTGTGGGAGGGCTCCAGGATTCCCAGGCTACAGATAAATTCAAGGTGCCCATGCCAGGTCCTATCAGTGATAAGGTATTTTAACTACTACCCCGACCCTCAATCTCCAGATCTCAGTTCTACTTCCACTCTCACCTTTTTTGGGCACCTGCTGCCAGCGATAGTCCCACGTTTGCTGTGTGGCAGCGTGGCGTGAGGCTTCCATGCCCTCTCGGCTAGAAAAGCGTCGGATATCCCAGAGCTTGATGGTCTGGTCTTTGGAGTTGGAGATGAGATACCGAGCATCGCCCTACAAATCCGAAGAACAATGGAGCACCAGAATGTGCCAGTGTCAGTGCCAGTCAGTCTGGTCCCCTCGCTCTAGCTGTAGGCTGAGAACTCAAGTCCTCTGACTTTCCTTACCTCCTGCTTCTTCTAAGTAAGCTTGCCTTTGATGCTCTGCTTCAGACCCCACCCTCAGATAGACGTTCCCTTCTCTGCCCACACACTGGCTGGGTCTCCTGTTCTGTCCTGATTACACTGTCATTGACTACTCTGGACAAGCAGGAGGACCACAGACTACATTTCTTATAAAGAAAGCTTGCCCTGCTGCTTAAGGAGTGGGAGGAGGGAGCTCGTGTTTCTCGGCTTAAGCCCCTTTCCTAAGCTCTTAACACCCTGGCTAATGAGAAGTTTATCAAGTTCTCACACCAGTATACTTTCATGCCCTCCTGGGAAACCAGGACCTTTGCAGCCTGGCTGTGCAGTCCTGCCTTCTTGCCCACCTTGCTGTCAATGAAGGTGATGCCATCCTGGTGGCCAGCCAGTGCACCCACAGGCTTTGGGTCATCCTCCCGCATGGTGCGTCGATCCCACACCTTGCAGATGGCATCATCTCCCCCAGAAAACAGGATTTGGGAGCTTATATCAGCAAAGGCCACTGCATTCACATCATCCTCATGAGATTCAATCTAGGGGAGAAGGAAGGCAGTACACTTAAGATTTCTTTGTCTTAAAATAGCCCAAAGAGCAGGACACAGAGATGCTAACTCTCAAGAGGAATACCTGCAGGGTGCGTCGGTTTTGTTCTCGGTCAAAAACATACAGGCAGCCATCATTGGCCCTGAAAGGGAAGGGATAAGGACTGAGCTGACCACTACTATGTATGGTCTGGAGAGTCCTGCTGAGGTGCCCTTCTGAGGTGCAAGGAAAAGAGTTATTTAGCTTTGTCTTCAAAGAGGCCTGTGACCTGCCACCTTATGCTCAGGAAATGGTAAAGAAGAGGTAAAGCAGTCCATAAACCGTGACTTTGGAGAAGGCTCTTCTCCACAGCTAACAGTGTAGTCTCTGTGATGGCAAAACTGATCTCCGGCAGAACTTCTATCTCATCAACCAAGGGAGAAATCCCCCTAAAGACTCACCCTCCTAGTACTTCTCGTCCATCTGAGGAGACAGCAATGGAGAATACAGCAAAGCGACGCTCATCTGGCCTGAAGAGATCAAAGGAGCTGTGTTAAGTGGATTTCTCTTCCACATTGAATATAATGAAGATTATAAAGCAGAGGACAAAAGGGGCCTGACAGCCTATCCTAGAGTGCAGATCACCTCATTAAGAACTCATAAATAATCCTGCAGCTATCTATTTTACTCTGGTCCTCTAGCAGAAAGGACAGATGGTTCCCTTCCAGGAATCCACATAGAGAACTTGCAGCCAATATACTTTTCCCCCTGAGTGGGAGCCCCAGTTCAAGAGGTTCGCTCCTGCAGAGCCTTGCTTGAGAAGTTTCTGATGAGTATGGTACACAGGAAGCCAATACCTTAGATCCAGGGCAGTGTGTGTGTCTCCTTCCCCGTAGATGTTGCATATATGAACTAGGAGAAGCAAGACAAACAAGAAGCTTTCATGAATTGAGAAAGACAGTGGAAGGAGAGATAGAACAAAGGGCAAGGATATCAAGGAACCTTGGGAGTATTTTTCAGGACAAGGCATGGAATTTTGGCTTAGAGAAGGGGACATGGAGACATCAGGTCCCAGCCCAAAGAGACAACGAACACTGGGTGCATACTCACTGTAATCAGACCAGCTGGAATACAGGAAGTGGCTGCCATCAGGGGTGAAGGCCACATCCAGGACACTCCAGCCTACATCCCGGGCCTTGATGCTCTTGAATTTGTGGAAGCGGCCATACCGGCAGTCATACAGTCTGATTGTCTGGTCTGTGTAATCAGGGATCAGGCAGAATTATGAAACACCCTCCTTTCATTCAGTGTATTTGTGGAGTCTTACCTTTATTATGGGAAACATGAGCTAGCTAACCATCCCTAAGCCAGGCTCTGAGCTTCTGGCCTGGCCTCAGACAAGGGGAGTTTTTCTTCTTCTATGGAAAGGCAGTTTATAGGACCAGAGTCTGGTACCTTGGCAAGCAGACATGAAGATTTGACCATCTTTGCTGTAGATGCCACAGAAAGCCTTCTGAGAGTAGGTATCAGTGAAGCCCAGGTCATTGGGCAAGAAGCTGGCAAAACAGGAGGAGAGTGGGGGTAAGGGGTGTCAGAATGAGAACTCCAGTTAGCAGGGTGGAATGCCAGCACAGGGACACTCTTCCCTTTTGGCTTTGTGTAGAATACTGTCTTTTGTCTATTCCACCATCTTCTAAATTTCTACACCTTTCTGATTGTACACTCTCAAAGCTTTAGCCCCCTTTAACCTAACCTGACTATCACGGAGGACCCTTTAGCACCTACCCCTTCTAAGTTCAGGAGATAAGACCTATCTGGCCCTTAAGAGTCTCTCCGCCGAGCCCCATACTCACTGAGACATCACTCGAGACTGTTCTCCAAGGGAGAAGCTTCCCCGATGGCAGAGGCCCCGTTCTCTCTAAATGGAAGGGATTGGGAATATTGCTAGCAGAAACAGAGGGCCACTTCCGGCACAACAAGCCCCCAACTCCACAGGGAACTGCTCTCGTTACAGAAATGGACGCCACACATCATAGTCTGTCCCACGCACTCTGTGCCAACTCAGGTTGGCTAACTCTCCAGCCCCAGAACTTGAGGATTCCTTGGAAAGTTTTTCCTTTTTTCTGGGGCTGTCAGAGCTTCTGGCTGCCTCAGCAGGCCCGCTGGAGGAGAAGAGGCCTACCTGATACAACATTCGAGGAAAGCTGTGCTCCTGGGCTGCCCGCCTAATCCCTAGCCGTCCTGTGGCCAACTCCACTTGCGTCTTGATCTCATTACATTCCAGCTCCTGGGTGTCGGGGGTTGCGTCCACTGTGAGTACCAAAAGAAGTTTCACCCAAATCTTCCACTCCACAGACAATCGATACACTCTGCCCAAGCCTATCCAGTATGGCTGGATATTTTGGGACTATGAACACTTCTCTCATTCCCTCAATTATCTCATCTTCTTTCAACTTAAACTATTTTTATTTTATTTTTGTTTTTAGAGACAGGGTCTCATTATGTAGTTTAGGCTGGCCTTGAACTCACTAGGTAGCCCAGGCTGGCCTCTAACTCACAGTGATCCTCCTGTCTCAGCCTCCCAAGTGCTGGTATTACAGACATGCGCCACCACCCCTGGCTAACTTAACCTATTTTAGAAAATTTTTTATTTGTACATATTTGCAGCACATAATGGTTACATTCATTGTGGTCAACTCAACACGTTACTCATCAGAACAACAACAGAAAAAGGGTTTCCAGTGAAAGTTTTCCAACATTAATGTTTTGGTCTTACCAGGTGGGTTGTATCGATCCCCAAGACGGCCATCCCAGGCACTGTCATGCTCTTCCTCCGAGTCCGAGAGGGCCTGGATGAGTTGTAAATTTGCTGCACCTCCTCCCTGCACCAACCTCACTTGGCCTCTGCGGAGAGACTCCCCATTACAGAGGGACCCCTTCCCACAAACTAAGCAAATTCAGAGTCAATGGTTAACTGGCTCTTGGACCATTTGTATTCACTTTCACATCTGAAACTGATTAGACCATAGTTTTTAATTTTATTCTCCCATAAGTTATGGTCAGAAACCATTCTGTACTCTCAGAGCAAGAGCAGAGAACCCCAACATGCTTGTGGAGGTGGAATTGCTAAGCTGACTTCCCAGCAATCTAAAAATTCTGGGCATCTCCTTCTGAGCCTCTGCTGGAGGAATCCAGCATAGAAAATATCTGCAAGGATTCTCCAGCTTATCTTCTCCTCACGGAACCATACACAAAGAAACAACACCAGCGGCACCCTTTTCAAATCAATTCCTGGTGGTCACTCCCTTCAAGGCATTCTTTCTTCAAGAATAGGGTTACAGTTAGGTCAATTTCAACTTGTTTTACAAGGAAATAAGTTCACAGGGCCTCGTATCACATTTCAAGTGCTTCACCCCCTCAACTCTTTTCTTTACCCCTCCCATCGCTCCTTTTCCACCAGGCCTTCTTTCTTTTACTTATCAAAAAGGCTACATTTGTGTAGTTATAGCCAGAGAGGCTCCCAAGCAGCTCACTCTTAACTGGGTATGGACCTGAGCGCCGCGAGAGCCCAGCAGGGAAAGGCTGTTCTGTTTGGTCAGACAGTGTTCTGCGCTACTTCGAGTCCTGTAACTTTCCTGCCTTAACTTGAAATCAAGGGACTGTGGTGACACCTTGTGGAGTCACACCAAAGGGTAAGTTACCTGCGGAGGAGATAGGCCAGTACCTGGGCCAGATCCACATCTTCATCCTCCTCTTCCTCTTCCTCACCCCGACGCAGGCCAGCTCCTCTGCGGGACAAGCCCTCGGAGGGGTCTCCAGACCCGGATCCCGCGCTGCTGCTGTTCCTTGATCCCATCTTCTACTCACAGCATCCTTAGGTCCTGAGCAGGGGCTCCTCCTGTCACTTCTTTGGCTTTGGTGAAAGCAAAGCTTGCTCTAGAAATACTAGGGTCTCTTCAGAAGAGGCGGTAGCTGTCTCTGGGAGGGCAACCCTTCCTAGGGACCGAAATCCCTTCTCTTTAGCCTATGACAAGTCCCAGGGCTTCGGGAACACAAACCTTCCCGGATCTTGTTTAGCAAAGAAAGCAGAATGTAGCAAGCCCGGGGCGCAACTCTAGTGCACCAATGAGAATCTTCCGAAAAAAATACTTGTTTCCTACCCCAAACTCACCTATCAAGGTTTCTCCTCCCTCCCTGGGGGGGAGGTTCCCCGGGAACCTCTCTTGATGACCAATCAACACCTCTCACGGAAGAAAGCGCTTCGGCTTATCTCATCTAACCAATCAGCCGACTTAGGACTCAAAGACCCCCGACACCTCCCCCTTACCGACCAATCAGAGAGCTTTCTTGAGAGAGCCGGCAGCAGAGACAGCCAATGAGGCGAGAATTCGGCCTAACACCCCCTCCTTCTTCGCCTCACGCCCACGTGGTGTGCCGGGGGTGTGTACGCCAAGGAGAGGAAGCGGCGAAACGCCTCCCACTGAAACCGGCGGTTAACACCCCGCGCGGGACCACCCACCAGTCAGGAGTGGCTGCTGGACCCGCAGTAGCGCAAGGCCTTGTTTACAGCGACTGCCGCCGCGGCGTCGGCGAACTGCTCCTCCGTCACGCGCCTCCTTCGTCACGCACCTCCCGGCTTCCCGGCCGACGTCACTCGATGCGCCCGAAGGCCCCGCCCCTTGGCTCGCTCACTGGACGGCTGAGCTCGCTGATTGATAGGTGGGCGGGAGAAAGTGCGTAAGGGACCCGAGGGGAGGAGAAAGTGCAAGCCCGAGGAGGGGTGGTGCACTCCGGGTGGGAGGGCGGAACGCGAACTGACAGCTTCCTTGATCAGAGATAGAGGAACTAGAAGTAATGGCCGAGAGGCGGGGCTGAAAAAGAAACGGTTAGAGGTTTACCACCGACAGGTGTTTTAGCAAGGGATACAATTTGTTGTCGGTCCTAGAGATCGTTTATTTAGCTCTAATTTTTTAAACAATGCCTCAGAGCCTCTGTGCGTGTGTGTGTGTGTGTGTGTGTGTGTGTGTGTGTGTGTGTAGTATTAAGAATCGAACCTAGGGCCTTAACACTGAGCTCTATCCCATTTCTTTTTTAAATTTTGAGATAGGGTGTTACTACATTGCCCAGGAGGGACTCGTACTTTGCATCCTCCTGCCTCGGCCTCTCAGAGTGCTGTGGTTGCAGGCTTGCGCCACCACGCCCTCCCGGAACCTGCGCTTTGATTGATTGATTGATTGATTGATTCCTTTATTCCTTTATTCATTGTTGGTACCGGGAATCCAACTCAGGACCTTGCGCTTGCCCAGCAGGCGCCGTGCCGCTAAGCTATCTCCCCGGCCCGAGCCGCCTCTTCATCCGTCCTCCCACTTCTAGTCTTCTCTCTTCGTTGGCTGACGCTTCAACGGTCCGGTCCCAAGGAGTGTCCGGTGCCTTTGCATCACAGATGGGGACTCAGCTCCACGCGCTCCTTCTGGGTTTAGCTTCTGAAGCCTTGTTTTCCTGGGGTCCGTCTTTTCTAGACCTCGCCTTACGCGCTCAGGCCTTTTTAGACGGTCCCTGGCTTCCCTCCGAATGCCCCGTGGGCCTCTGGGAGCCTTTCCGGGCCGCGGTGCCAGCAGACGCCGCCTGGGCGCGCGGAGATTTGCAGACATACCCTGGAGCCTGCGTCCTCCCGCGCCCCACCCCGGCCGCGGGTCCAGGGTGCGTTGCCCGCCGCCCCAGGGCTGAGTCCAAGGCCGGCACCGCCACGTCTCGGGATCCTTGCCCGGACTGGGGGTGGGGAGGCATGACCTTGCCCGGTCGGTGCAAAGCCCGGGCCTGAGGTCCACGTCACCCGCGAGCCCTGGGCAGAGCCAGGGCGGGGAGGGAGGGGGAGACTGCCGCCGCGGCTTGCCCTAAGGGAAGACGAGGGCGTGGCCGACCCTGGGACGAAGTCGGGGCTTCCTTCGTGGCCCTGCAACATGTAGAGCCGGGCCCTGCTACATGTGGTAGAGCCGGGCCCTGCTTGGTCTCTTGTTCTGCAGTCACCATCTTAAAATTTAGTAATTTTTGCAGCCAGGCGTGGTGGTGCACACCTATAATCCCAGCACTCGGGAGACTGAGGCAGAAGGATCGTTGTGAGTTCGAGACCAGCCTCAACTGCATAGGGAGACTGTCTCAGACAAAAAAAAAAAAGTCTTGGTGACTTTCAAACAAGCGCCTCGTATTTTCATCTCCTGGACTCCACTATTTAGACAGTTGTGATAGTAATGTTTATTGAGACTCTGGGATCTGTGGTTGCAGGCAATCTGGAATCACTTCTTTATTATTTTTTTTTTTATTTTAAAGATAAAAGAACAAAAACATCCTAACACACACATATACTTAGAAAATAACACAAAAACAACACAAGTAATACAGAATCTCAGACAAGGTGATAGAAAATTAACAATGGTTGTTGTATTACATATTGATATCTTCAGTTTGGATACTCAGATAAATATAGACATGTAAGACTGAAAAAATGTGGAACACTTCATGAATTTACATGTCATCTTTGCGCAGGGGCCATGCTAATCTCTATTGTTACAATTTTATTATATATGCTGCCAAAGGGACCACTGGAATCACTTCTTTAAAAGTTGATATTAGCCGGGCATGGTGAAACACATCTGTGATGCCAGCACTGGGGAAACTGAGGCAGGAGGATCTCCATGAGTTCCGGGTTAGCTTGAGGTATGTAGTGAGTTCAAGGCCACCTTGAGCTACATAGCAAGATCCTGTCTCAAAAAACCAAAAGACATTTGGGTGTGGTGGTGCATGCCTATAATCCTAGCAGCACGTGGGAGGGTGAGACAGGAGGACCGCTGTGAGTTCGAGGCTGGCCTGGGCTACATGTTGAGACCTTGTCTAGAAAAACAACAACAACAAAAAACCAAACCAAACCAAACCTGATCTTTACTTCCTTTTTGGCCCTTAAGTTCACTTATTCAAATTCTGTAGATTTTTCCTGGGCTACAAAGTGAGCTCAAGGCCAGCCTGAACTGCATAGTGAGACCCTGTCTCACAAAGACCAAAAAAAAAAAAAAAAAAAGACGACAACAAAAAAATTAATTCTATAGATTTTTTTCCTCCCTTTTTTTGTTTTTTTTTTTTCCAGTACTGGGAATCAAACTCACGACCTTGTGCTCACCAGGCAGGTGCTGTGCCACTGAGCTAAATCTCCAGCCCCCGAATTCTATAGATTTTTAAAAGCTGATTATTTGAAATTATTTTCAGTCATCACAAATTTAACCTAATTTCCTCTCTCTAGTCGATCTGCTGAAGTATCCAGCTGTAACAGCAGTTGGTTCTTAAGAACCTGCTAGTGGCCACCACTGTTTATTGTTTCAAATATACAAACTTCCCAACCTTTTTTTTCTTTTCTTTTTTCTCTTCTTTTCTTTTCTTTTCTTCTTCTCTTTTCTCTTCCTTTCCCTTATTTTTGCCAAGCAAATAATGCCTATAAATGCCTTGCTTATTTACACCTTTGCACCTTTGCAGAATTTCTTATGTGAGAGAATCTTTGTTTTTCTACCAGACTCCTTTCCTCACAGACTTGCAGTTTGAACCAATGGTACCACTACAATATTCTATCATGGACCTGCATAAAGACATTTTTTTTTTTTCTTCCTGAGACAGAGTCTTATTATGCAGTTCAGGCTAGTCTTGAGCTCACTTTGTAGCCCAGGCTGGTCTCGAACTCACAGTGATCCTCCTGCCTCAGCCTCCCAAGTGCTGGGATTACAGGGGTGTGCCACCGCACTTGGCTAAGACATGTTCTGCAATGCCATTATTTTGTTGTTTGTTTCTTGAGACTGGATATGGCTGGGTAGTTCAGGCTGGGCTTGAATTTGAATTTGCAGTGATCCTCCTGTCCCACCCTTCTGAATGCTGGTATTACAGGCGTGTGCCACATGCCCAGCCTGCGTGGCCATTATTGGTAAAAGTGGAACACTGGAAGCAAAATAGATCCAAATGTCCTAAAATACAGGACTGGTTAAATAAATTATGGTTCATATGGTACACACAAGGAAGTACCTGGTAGCTATTAAAATGGCAGAGTAGCCTGGCATGGGATTACATGCCTGTAATCCCAGTACTTGGGAGGCTGATACAGGAGGATGCAAGTTTTAGACGAGTCTGGGCTATGCTACAAAGTGAACTCAAGGCCACCCTCGGGCCGGGGATATAGCTCAGTGAAAAGTGCAAGGTCCTGAGTTTGATTCCTGGTACCAAAAAACAAACAAACAAACAAGTCCAGCCTCAACTGCATAGTGAGACCCTGTCTCAAAAAGGTAAATAAAATAAAATAAAATGGCAAAGTGGACTGAGGTTGTAACTCAGTGATAGAGCGCTTGCTTAACATTTGAGAGGCCCTGGATTCATCCTTAGCATCGGAAAGAAAGGAAAAAAATTGAAGTCTGTTTTTCATTCCTTGGGAAATTGTACAAGCTACATTGTTTTCTTAAGTGGTAGTAGGTAGCCCAGCATGGTGGCACATGCCTGTAATCCCAGCTACTCTGGAGGCTGAGACAGGAAGATCAAAAGTTCAAAGTCAGCCTAAGCAACTTACTGAGAATTTTTCTCAAAATAAGATATAAAGGGCTGGGAATGTAGATCAGTGTGCCCAGTACTAAAAAAATATAAAAACATGCAGGCCCATCATATAATTAAACAATAAAATGAAAGCCTTTCATGAAATGGCAAAGGTGCAGCATGAACAACAAACTATCATTAATATAATTTCATGTTTTTGGTTTTTTGAGACAAGGTCTCACAATGTGGTACAGACTGGCCTTGAACTTGCTTATGGAGCCCAGGCTGGCTTTGAACTCTAGACAATCCTCTTGCCTCAGCCTCTTGAGTGCTGGGATTACAGATGTGTACCACTGCACCAGGTCTGGTTAATTTCAGCACCTAAGGTCCAGAAAAACAAAATAAAACTTAAGTTAAATTCACCTCCTTAATCTAATTTTTTGTTTTTTGTTTTTGAGACAGGGTCTCACTTAGTAGTCCAGGCTGACCTTGAACTCACCATGTAGCCCAAGCTGACCTTGAATTTACAGTGAGCCTCCTTCCTCAGCCTCCCAAGTGCTGGGATTACAGGTGTGCACCACTGCCTGACCTGATTAATTTTTGTATGTAAAAGATTTTTAAACCTGTGAATTTGATTATTTCAGTTGTGTCCTATAATATTTTTGAAATGTTTTTGACCATTTATACTCATACTGGGTGTTCTATTGAAAAAAAAAAATAAAATGACGTTTCGTTTAAAATAATTACAGGTAAGTAATTTTGACATACTCTTGGTCTTCTTCCCTTTCTTGATTTTGAAACTGGCACGTTGCTGAGTCTGTAAAATGTTTTTTGTTTGAGCGGCCTCTACTCGCCCTTGCTACACTTAAAGTCACAACCACAGAGGTTTTCTACTTTCAGCACCTATTTTAGGACCGTTTGTGGTAATTGCTAAGTAAATGTCAGCTAGTTAACTTCTTGTCTGACCTGCTTTTTCCTAGTTCCTGCTCTTGACAATTGCCACTAGAGGGCAGCCTGTACTGGAGGAGAGAAAAGGCCAGGGAAGTTTTTATTTCTAGCTCCTCTCCCACCCCAGCCTGGTGACAGTGTAGAATTGCATGGGACACAAAGTTAGGTCTTCTGAAATGACTAATACTCACGCTTTTTTTTTTTTTTTTCTTTTTAAGACATTTTCTAGCTATGTAGTTCAGCCTGGCCTTGAGCTCACTTTATAGCCCAGGCTGGCCTCAAACTCACAACGATCCTCCTGCCTCAGCCTCCCAAATGCTGGGATTACAGGCGTGGGCCACCATGCCCGGCTTTGTTTTGTTTTTGTGGGTGTTTTTTCTTTTTGTCTTTTTGAGACAGGGTCTCTCTATGCAGTTCAGGCTGGCCTTGAGCTCACTTTGTAGCCCAGGCTGGTCTTGAACTTGCAAGGATCCTCCTGCCTCAGCTTCCTGAGTGCTGGGATTATAGGCGTGTGCCACCATGCCCAGCTTCCCTGCGCATTCAGATGCCAGAAAGATGCCAGGAATTCCATTTCCTGGCCTCTTTCCTAGAAGGATTTATTTCCAAATCTGTTTTTTTCTCTCCTGTATTTTCTGTACATTGCTTATTTCTTTGTTAAACTATAGTCAGCAACACATAAGAGAAGCTTCTAGGGCTTACTGCAATCATAGAGAAATGAGGCAGCAAACATATATTAGGTGGTTATTTGGTGCAAGGCATAAGTGATTACTCCGAGTATTTTATTCCACTGACTTTTTTTTTTGGTACCGGGAATCAAACTCAGGACCTTGCGTGTGCCAGGCAGGTGCTTATGCTGCTGAGCTATCTCCCCAGCTATTCCACTGACTCTTTTAACACTGTGAGGTGAGGCACGTTCCCATTTTACAGATGAAGAAACAGAAGGCATTCCTGGCTTTAGAGTCTGCTGTATGCTTCATGCTTGTGCTGGTATAGTCTCAGTTATCACATGTCCTTTATGAAGCTGGAAATTTGTGTACTTATTCATATTTTAAATTTATTTTTTACTTTACATAAAGTTCGTACATATTTTTAGAGCACTATGCAATGTTTCAATACACGTAAACACTGTGATGTTCAAGTCGAGGTAAACATATATGTCTCATCAGTTATTTCTTTGCGGTGAAAATATTCAAAATTCTTCGGTGTTCTTGAAATACACAGTATTATCTATAGTCGATCTACCATGCAATAGCACCCCAGAACTGACTTCTATTTAACCCTAACTTACTAACACTGGGGAGAAGAACTCCCAACCTGAATGATCTCTGGGATGAGTTCATGTTCTCTAAAATCGAAGAATGAATTTTAGGAACAACGGAAGTTAAGAGCAGAATATGTTTATTGAGGGAAAGTTTCTATGAGAGAGAGAAAGAGAGAGACAGAAGGGAGGCCCGAGTGGGCTGCCCAGGGAACATGTCTTTTCCAGGGAGTTTATACAGCAAAAACATGAGATGAGGTGGGTCTAAGGTGGGGGAAAAAATGGGAAATCACAAGGTAGTCATGAGGTGGTAAGAATTGTTCAGATAAAATTGATTAAATTGGGATCAAATGGGGAAGCCAGTCACCAGCAAGTGGGCATGAATATAAAACAGGGGCTTTTCCTGTAAGGGGTTGGGTCAATGACTCTTCAAGGTGATTGCTACCTATTTAGAATATCAATCCCTGAGGTCCATCCCTAGGGACGTATGTGGGTGTTTAATCTTTTATTTTGAGATCTGGCCCACAGCAGGTATCACCTCTCCATTTGCCAGGTATGGTTTCTTCCCTACAGCATTGCTTTTTTTTTTTTTTTTTTTTTTTTTTTTGGTACTGGGAAAACAACTCAGGACCTTGCATTTGCCAGGAAAGGGCTTATACCGCTGAGCTATATCCCTGCGCCCCCCCTTTTTTTTTTCTCTTTGAGGCAGAGTCTTGCTATGCAGTTCATGCTGGCCTTGAGCTCACTTTGTAGCTCAGGCTGGTCTGGAACACATGACAATCCTCCTGCCTCAGCCTCCCAAGTGCTGGGATTACAGGCGTGTGCCACCATGCCTAGCAGCATTGCTACCTGTTTATCAACCTATTCCTATCCCTACTTCTCCCCAGCTGTATGTTTTTAAGTGCAGTAAACTCCATTGCTGTGACTAGCAGAAGGTCCACCCTGATTCTTCCCTTGAACGTTAGAGCTGGTCATTGGTGTTTTCTATGACATGTGGAGATTTCTCCTCCAGTTTTTTTTCCTCCAGAGAATTTCCCAGTAATTCCATTTGTTGAAGTTTATACTCATCCCGACCCTAACAGGGGAAGTTATCCTGAGCTAATGCCCCTGACTTATGTGGGATCATTGCTCTAGTTTGTTTTCTCTCTAATACTGACTTCAGAGTATAGACTCAGATCTTGCTACTTAAACTGTAGTCTGAGCAGCAGCAGCAGCTATGATGTCTTAACAGAGTTCCCGGGCTCTCGGACTGGCTGAGTTAGATCTACACTTTAACACGATCCTCAAGCGATTTATATGCACTGTTAAATTTGAGAAACATAGAGGAGGTGACTTCTAAGGTTTATAGGTATTTATTGTGTGGCCTTGGACAAATGACCTTTCTGTGTCTGTCTGCTTTTCTTCCACTCCCCTCCCCTTCCTTTTGTCTTTCTTTTGTGGTACTAGGGATTAAACCCTGGGCTTGGTGAGCACTAGGCAAACATACTCATAGTGAGCCATATCCCTAGCCACCCTTTGTTTCTTCAGCTATAAAATGGTACTAGGCCGGGTGTGGTGGTGCATTCCTGTAATCCGAGCACTCAGGAGGCTGAGGCAAAAGGATCACTGAGAGTTTGAGGCCAACCTGGGCTACATAGTGAGTTCAAGGCCAGACTGGACTGCATAGTGAGACCCTGTTTCCATTAAAAAAAAAAAAGAAAGAAAGAAAAAAGAAATGGTACCTCCTTCCAAGTATTACTTTGTAATGTGCTTGGAACAGTGCCTGGTACACAGAAGGTGCTATACAAGTGTGACCTGTCTTAATATCCAGTGTTTTCACAAATACTTTGTAACTCGCAGTTCCATGTCAGAAAGGGGAAGAATAGGTTTGGGAACCAATAATGGGAAGGACTTTCACTGGGGATTGGGTTGTACAGGCTTCTGCATGTTATTTATTTATTATTTTGTCTTTTTGAGACAGGGTCTCACTATGCAGTTCAGGCTGGCCTTGAGTTCACTTAGTAGCCCACGCTGGTCTCAAACTCGCCATGATCCTCCTGCCTCAGCCTCCCGAATGCTGGGATTACAGGTGGGTACCACTATGCCCGGACTTTTACATGTTAAGATCATGAATTTTAACCATGTACTAAGCAGCTTGCTGAGGTTCCCACCTTTTGAAGACCTCAGGACACAGACAAGGTCGTGCCTTCCCCCAGCAGTTCTTACTTATGTAACCCAGTGGCGGGACTTGTTTGGAGGGAAGCCTATGAGAAAAGGCGGGAAAGGAAAACAGCACAAATGTCGTATAAAATAAACGAGCATGTCTTTTTAGACACTGTGTGGGAGGGTCCTCAGCTTGGTCTCATGGCACTGAGATGTCAATATGGAATAGCTCATACTTTCTGCAAGGCGGGGGCTCCCTATTCCAGATGGGGGTGCTGCCTTGCAGGCCTGGAGCCTAGCAGGGTCACATTCGACGCACCCGTTCCTCCAGGGCCTCCAGCTCAGCCAGCACCTCCTTGGGCAGATCCTGGTTGACTTGCTCTGTCAGGTAGGTCCGAATGTCACGAACCTCCTGTTCCCAGAAGTCCTTGGGGAGTGAGAACAGCTGTGTGATGTCTATGGCTCCAAGACCACTGAGATTCAGGGCTCCTTCTTTTGGTACTAGCCCGATGGGTGTCTCTTGGGTACTGTCCTCCCCCTCTAACCGCCGACAGATCCAATCCAGCACCCGAGCGTTTTCCCCAAAGCCTGGCCACAGGAAGCGGCCTGCTTCATCACGTCGGAACCAATTGACATGGAAGATTCGGGGCAACCGGGCCCCCTTGCGTCTCTCCATGCTCAGCCAGTGTTCCAAGTACTGCCCAAAGTTGTAGCCAAAAAAGGGCCGCATGGCAAATGGGTCATGCATGATGGTCTTGCCTAGGGCAAAGGAGAGGATAGGTAAGGAATTTTCTTCCCTTCAAGGGAAGGGCACCCTGCTTCCTGCTGGAGGAAGTAGTGAAAGGTTCACAGTCTGGAATAGCCTCAGGAAAGATGAAGAGATGGGTGGGGGGAGGTACAGTGGGAAGAGGTGGGGCCACTAAAGACTCCAGGAACAAGAGGTGAACAAGAAAGTCTGGCTCACGAAGGGAGCGAGGAGGTGACTTGGGAAGCCAGGCTCACCTTTGTGTTCAGCCGCAGCAGTAGACTCAGAGCGCATGGCACTCCCGATGAACACCCCATGACGCCAGTTGAAGGCCTCATACACCAGGGGCACTCCTAGGACGCCAATGCACAGGGTCACAGGCAGCCCTTCTCACTGACCCTCACCCCGTCCTTTGTGATCTTGATTCCTGGTCTCTGTCTCCTAGCACCTTAGCTATCCCAGCAGACCCCATTCCTCTCCAAATTCTGCTTTCACCAGGGAAGAACTCAGAAGACAGACAGCTGGAGCTGAAAATCCAGGCTGAGGCTCCCTGAGTGTTAAGTACAGGAGGCTCGTGGGCCCTAATATAGCGCTAGGCCTTTTACCAGCAGGGCATGGAACCCACGTTGTTTACCTTTGGGTCTGCGGCCTCCAAAGATGATGGCGTCAATGGGAACACCTTCTGGGTCCTCCCAGGCTGGGTCCATGATGGGGCACTGGCGAGCCGGGGCGCAAAAGCGAGAGTTGGGATGTGCACAGGGCTCCTTGTCACCTGGCAAAGGAAATACAAACACTGTCACTTTCAAGGTGACATCCACTCCCAACACCCACGTACACGTGTGCACATTCTTGCACAATTTCCTTTGTGCCTCATCAGCTACCTATAACCTCCAGTGGTGAGGACAGGGAGAGGGGACCCAGGACATCTCCCCCACCAAGGTCAGGTTATTTATCTGTGACAGTGCTGTGAGAGAAGAACGGGAGAGGAACTGGGTTTGGCAAAGTACTAATGTGCATGCCAAGCTACCGGCACTTGGCATTGACTAGGTAGGGCCCATGGAAATGCTTTTAGATGGTGGCATATGGTAATCATAATTCTTCCCCTAGAATCTATTTACTTACAGAATTATTTCTCAAACCTAAAGCAATAATTGAGAATGTCAGTTCAGTATTTCAGATAGTTGGCTTTCCATCGGCAAGTCAGGGAAGATAGAATCTCTTGAGCTATTGAAATGCAAATAACTAACAGAATCTGCTGCGGGTGGCAGGCACACCTTTAATCCCAGCACTCAAGGCTGAGGTAGGAGGATCTCCATGAGTTGAAGGCCAGCCTGAACTACAGAGCAGAGACCTTGTCTCAAAAAACAAAACAAAATAAAAACAAACAGAAAACCCCAAACAAACAAATAAACCTAATAGAATTTTTGTGATTCCCTGGGCCAGGCCTAGACCCTAATGGAGCAGCGCTTGAGGAACTGAGCAGATATAACCTGAGGAGTGCAGGTCACATGACACCTTTGGGTGCTCTGAAGAGGGCAGAGACTAAGTCAGTGGCACCCGTGTGAGGCACCACTGAGAGGAGCCTGAGAGAGCACAGTACCTTTTCCACCGCAGGCTGCCAGTCAGACCTGGAGAGTGAGGATCTGTGGAGCCAGTACTCCTACCCCTACCGGTCCCTGTCCCTGCCTCTCTTATCAGAGAAGAGCTAACCTTCCTTAGCAACCAGTGTAGGACCCTAGCACAGAGTCTTTATCATTCTGCGAACTGAAGCTGGGCACAAGATGCCCTAGTTGTACCCCTGAATTCAGAGATAATGAAAGGGTTGGGGAAGCTGCCTGTTGGGGAAGATTAAGGTTTCTTGGGCTTCCCAGTTGGGTGGGCAAGCTGAGGGGGGCTTAATGATGGTGTTAGAGAAAATGAAGGGTGATTAGACAAGGAGGGTGACTGCTAGGGCCAGCCTGGCAAACTCAAATACAGGCTTTGGCAACCACAAGGCCACTCTTCCTGCCATGCTATGTTTTGCTTCTACCCCTCAGCCTCCGGGCTCTCTGACTGCAATTGTGGAAGACATGGAAAGCCAAAGGTCCAGAGTCCATGACTGGGGGAGGCGCGTGGCCCAAGGCATCTGGTTAATGACAGAACTGAGAAACCAGCTTCTGGGGAAGACTAAAGTGCTGGTCTGACATAGCATGGAAGAAACACTAAGGAGTGTGTGTTGCGGGAACAGGGAGGGGTGAAGGTAGGGACACTGGCCTTTAGACAGTGGCTATTATCCGAAGAAGTGGGGGGCAAATGGCAGGAGAAGGAGGCAGCCTTCCTCTTTCCCATGAGTCAAACTCTGTGAATTGTGCTTTGAGCCTAATTGTTTCTGGGACAATTTTCAAAAGTCCTTCTTTCTCTCTTTTTAAAAAAATCCAGTTTATATTTATTATTGCAAATTTGCTATGTATTCAGCAGTGTGTTAAACCCCTTGTATACATCACTTAATTTAATCCTCCAACAGTCTTATGCAGTGAGTACTGTCATAACTACCTCTATTCAACTGGTGAGGGAGCTGAGGGGAGGTTAAATAATTCAGCCAAATCCCCAAACCATGGGTTGGGGCACAAGCTGAGATTCTGCCTGGGGTTGAAAACTACAAACATTTATAACTTCATTACAGTTCATTTTTCAGTGGCCCAGGAGATGGCTGGGGGTCATAGAGAAGGCTTTTCCATCATTAAGGTGCTGAGCCTGGGAGTCCCACCCCACATACCAGGTTTCCAGGGTTTTCCCAGCCAGGAGGTTACAGTGACGCCAGGTGGAAGAGGCTGGTCAATGCCCTCCCAGTACACACCGCCGTCGCTGGTCTCAGCAACGTTGGTAAAAAGAGTATTACTCTGGACTGTAGCCATGGCATTGGGATTGGTGGTGGCAGAGGTACCAGGAGCTACCCCAAAGAACCCATTCTCGGGGTTGATGGCCCGCAGTCGACCTGTCAGGAGGAGAAGCGAATGAAAGGGATCAGCCGGAAAAAGTTGTGAGGTGAGGCTTAATGGGGACTACCCTGCATTCTATCTGAGAGTTCTGTCTGAGTTCTATCTGAGAGCTGACCGGGGAAGGCTTTGTCTGGTAGGGCTGCTTATTATTATTATTTTTTTTTTGGTACTGGGAACTGAACTCAGGACCTTGCGCTTGCCAGGCAGGCGCTGTGCCGCTGAGCTATATCCCCAGCCCTGGTAGGGCTGTTTAGCAAAAGGTTCCCAACTGCAAAGCTCACCATGAACGTTAATGGGATCCGGTAAGAGCTAGAACTGATAGTGTGATCGCAGGGTCCCTCACCTTCACTGTCAAACCTCATCCAGGCAATGTCGTCCCCTACACACTCCACTTTCCAGCCTGGCAGTGCAGGCCGCATCATGGCCAGGTTTGTCTTGCCACAGGCACTAGGAAAGGCAGCTGCTACATAGTGCTTCTTCCCTGCAGGGTTGGTGATACCCAGGATCTGTGTGTTGGGGACAAAGAGAACAGGAGGTCACTGAAGGTCAGGGTGTGATCTGTGTAAGGAAGGACAGGGATTCACATGGGTGCCATTGTTTATTCACTAAGCAGATGTACTGCTTTGCCCTCAGGCCTGAGCTAGCAGCATTTAGCAGCTAGGGGCAAAAACTTTGGACTTTCGGGCAGAGTCCATGCGTAACAGCTTGGCACCTGGCAGGAAGGAGGCAAAAGTGAGGCGAATGGCCAGGCCCTGCCCCTGCCCCGCCCCCCACAGCTGCCCAGTTCCCTCCGGGCCCTCACCAGCATGTGCTCCGCCAGCCAGCCCTCATCCCTGGCCAGGCGAGAGGCGATGCGCAGGGCAAAGCACTTCTTGCCCAGCAAGGAGTTGCCACCATAGCCGCTGCCGAAGGAGACGATCTCCCGCTGGTCAGGCACATGGCCAATCAGGGTTTTCTCTGGGTTGCATGGCCACAGGCTCACTGGCTCCCCTGGGGACAATGGGTCACTCTGGCAGTAGCATCAGGAAGTGGGGTGTCAGGGCCAGAGGGATCAGGATTGGCAGGAGACACTTGGGAGCAGTGGCAGTGCCCAGGAGTGGCTAAAGCACTCCTTGCCTTTTGCTACCCGTCAGCTCCCATGCCTTTATCAGACATGAAGACTGACTTTCTCAATCTTGTGCAAACTGTTCGCCAAACACGCTCACCCTCAGCCCAGAGTGCTGCCCTGGGATTTGGGCTTCAGCTTTCACAGGATACGGGCTCTGAGGGTGTGTGGATGACTTGGAGGGTATGACTTGTAGTTGCCTCTGAGTGCGAGAAAGCTTCTGTATCCTCCCCTGGGCAAGGCAGGCACTCACCTTGTCCAGTCAGGGGCTGACCAACAGAGTGAAGGCACTTGACGAAGTCCCCATCTCCCAGGGCCTGGAGCACAGGTGTCCCCAGCCGAGTCATAATACGCATGCTCGCCACCACATAGGCTGAGTCAGTGAGCTGTACTCCAATGCGGGACAGTGGTGAGCCCACGGGACCCATGCTGAATGGGAGTACGTACATGGTCCGTCCTGAGGAGGAAAGTGTCACCCGGATGATGGGTTCCAAACTGGTCATCCCTTCAGCACCCCTGCCCCTGTGTCCCTGCCCTGGTTACCCTGCATGCAGCCCGGGAACCTGTCATCCACAGCTTGCTGGAACTCAGCTGGGGACATCCAGTTGCCCAGCTGCCCACGGGCCCCACCAGCTGGGAGGGGCACTGTGTCCCGCTGAGAAGGAGTAACAATCACTGTCTTGCTCTCTACTCGTGCCACGTCCTTGGGGTCTGTGCGGGCCAGCCAGCTGCGGGAGAGGCACTGTCAGAAAGATGGTGGCCAGCAGGTCTCCTCCATCCTCAGACACACTTTACAAGTCCATTTTTGACTCTAGTTTTTGGTTTTTTTTTTGTCTTTTTTGAGACAGGGTCTCGCTATGCAGTTCAGGCTGGCCTTGAGCTCACTTTGTAGCCCAGGCTAGCCTCGAACTCGCAAGGATCCTCCTGCCTCAGCCTCCCAAGTGCTGGGATTACAGGTGTGCACCACCATGCCTGGCTAGTTATTTTGTTTATCTCAGCTTCTCATTTAATATGAAAATCCCAGTTCCTAAGGGATTTTCCCTGAAAGCTTCTAATGTTGCTCTTTCCAGCAGGATGGTCTAGTTAAATATGAGTCCGTCCCGTCTTGCTAACCCCAAAGTGACCTCATTCCAAACTGTGCCCATCTGGTAGATGGCTGGTCTCAGGGCTTACCAGTTATTATACTTGGTGAGCTTTCGGATGAGGCCTTGATGTTGCAGCAGGGTCAATATGGCAGTGTTCTCAGCCTCAGTCCCATCACAGATATGGATGGCCTCTGGCTGGCAGAGGCGGGCACTGCGCTCCACAAAGTCTCGAACTCCAGCTGGCAGCTGGTTCAGATCTCCACTGAGCACACGCAGGGTCTGGATGCTGCGGCATGATGACCAGCACCAGGGGCTCAGCCCCTGCCAGCTAAGCCTGGAAGAGAAGAAACAAACAGGGAGGGGATCAGCCAGTTGCTATCATGGAGCACAGACAAAAGGTGGTGGTGTGAACAGAGTGCCTGGGCCTCTGTGGAGAGCGCTAAAGCGTGTCTAGGCGCAGGTACTATAAGAGCAGGTTGGAGCTGGTGCGCAGGACGGGATCAGGATAAATGCATGCTGTGGTCTTTATGGGACTTAATGAGGGTGTCCTGCTCAGCAAGAGATAGGTACAGCCAAAGGAGCATAAAGGGACCCAGCTGGCTGTGGCAGTATACAACACAGGCACACTGATATTTTGGCAAGTGAAGTCTATGCCCATGTTTCACTACGCCTGCTCTGTTTAGATGAGCAAATGCTCTTGGGCCCAAGTGTCAAGGAATTGTGTTGGGGTAAAAGCTTCATGCATCTGGTGTTTAAAGCCTCATCCGTGTTCTTTCCATTCACATGTATAGTTTTTATACATTGAAATGGCAGCTGTTTTTATTTTTTCTTCTGGTGTGAATGTTGTAGGACTGTGAAAGCCTCAACAGTGCTCTTCCAGTGCCAAGTTTCTAGATTAGGGCTCTTGCACAGAGACAGGGGCGTGAGCCAGGCACTCCTATAATCTCAGCACTCAGGAGGCAGAGGCAGGAGGATGGTTGTGAGTTGGAGGCCAGACTGGGCTACAAAGTGAGCTCAAGGCCAGCCTGAACTGCATAGTGAGACACTGTCTCAAAAAATACAAAAAAAAAAAAAAAAAGAAGAAGAAAAAACAGACAGGGCCTGGATGTTGGGGTTCCAGGCACTAGAGCTGCTGCCACCCACCTGGGTCAACGCTTGCATAAAGTGTTCCCCCTAGATGGATGTTTTTGAACTATGTGAAAGGGGACCACTGCGGAATGAGTAACACGGGCTGGGGTTCATGCCAGGATTCCTAGGAGGGCAGGGCCCCTTTATTGTCTGTCTTGCCCCTTGGCAAGAGAGCAGCAGGGTCTGCTCTGATTGGCCTGGACCCAGGGTGGAATGACCCAGAGGGCCAAAGACCAAGAGAGATTAATTATCCTTCTCGCATGCCACAGCTTTACCCCCCAGAAACCCAGATAGCAGGGTGGTGAGCACATGCTTGCCATGGCCTGCTTTCTTTTTTAGTGTATGTGCTGCCGAAGCAAGCACCCATGGCCTGCCGTCTTACACCCCGCATGGCTAGAGAGCTCTGGGTGTTGTTGGTAGAGTGGAACATCAGACTAGAAAAAGCCCAGACTCAGAGCCATATCTTTGGGGAAGGGAGACCATGGATGTTAGTGCTTGGGCTGTGCTGTGGTGGGATCGGAGGTAGTTTCCAGGATCAGAGCAGGACATATGCCCAGGGTGGCCCATGGGCGGAGAAGGAGGGCTCCTGGGATCTGGGTCTGTTCTTGCCTGGGAGTTTTCCCTGGGACTAATTTCAAAGGCACAGTCTTGAGGAGAACTCTCCTTCCAGAGCCTGCGTCTTTGCTGAGTCCCCACACCACCCTTTAGTAGCCCAAGTAGGACCGTCTTTCTGTTTCTTAGAGACCACTCACGTGGACTGGCCAAATCGAACAGGCTGTGGGACAGAGATGCTTAATTAAGACTCTGGGATAAAAGCCGGGGAGGAGGAAGGCTGCATAAGGGGAGCGCTGACAGGTAGGACAAGCCTGCGGATTCAGGAGGGGACAGAGGAAGAAACCAGCCGTGTAAGAATGGAAGGCAACGGTCCCCTACGCCCATCTAACTCCCTCTCTCCCCGGCTCCGGGTCCCTCAGGCTGTGCTGGGCTTCTAGCCAGGTTCCAGTCGGGGTTAGGCCAAGAATGGATGTTTACCTTTTACCTTCTTTAGGGATCTCTGTGTTCAGAGCCCCAGGGGCGCACGTCCCATGGGTCCTGGGCCCTACAGCTTTTCATACCACCCCAGGAGGTGGGCTAAGACCTCGTCAGGGTTGTGAAAGCGTTAAGTCCGGGAAGAAGAGACGGATACGCGGGGACACGGCCGAGGGCGAAGGCGGAGGAAGTCCTGAGAGTGGCAGACTGCACGGCGCGCGCCGACAAGCGAGGCAGGAGGGGGAGGAGCGCACGGCCACGACTAGACCTCGCGCGGCACGCACTGGCCGCCGGGCTGGGATGCGCAGACTCTCGCCCTGTCTACCTCCTGGGATGGGAACCAGGCAGAGCCAGCCCCGAGGGCGCGAGCACGGCGGAAAGTGCGGGTGGGTCACTCACCGCAGGCCGGGGCGGTACACAGCAGCCATGGCACCTGGGCGGGGGCTGCGGGGTGGCCGCAGGAACCCAGCAGAGTCGGGGAGGCAAGGAAGGCGGGGAAGCGAGCGGGAGCGGAGGCTGGGCTGCAGGCGCTTAAAAAGTGGCAGGCAGGCTCAGGGCGGAACCCAGCCCGGCTGTCTCCGCCTGTCGGCAGGCGCGCTCCCCGCTCCTGGGCTCCACACCCCTGGCCTGCACAGCCCCGCCCCAGCGCCTCTTCCTAACCCCCAAACCCACCTCTCCCATTGGAGGCCGGGGGCCGCCCCTGGCCCCGCCCACGGAGAGAGACCACGCCCACTTCGAGGCCCCGCCCTCTGCTCCGCCACGCTGCTCCGCACATGATGTAACTTTGAGGACTCTTGCTCCCGGAGATAGCGACGACGACGGAGAGTCACAGAGAAGCAAACAAGTTGAGGATGAATGGGGAGGCTAGTGGCAGGAGCCACAGGGGTTAGACGTCTATAAGGTAGGGGGATGAGCATGGCCTTTCTAGTTCTCAGGGACTGGACACTCCCAGCCCCAGGCCTTGCTGTTCTCCAAGGTCCCAACTCAAGTGTCCTTTAGTCTCCAATTGCGGAAAGCCCTTGTTTCCCTTTCTGCCTTCCTAGGAAATGATAGGGATCTCTGCACCAGGGGCCCTACCTTGGTCCTCTGATCTACCACACCAAATGCCAAAGGACCTCAGACTGTACGTGTTCGTGGTGGTGGGCACATGCTCAGCATTCTCTCTCTTCTACAAGCGTAGCCCTGGTTTCCTCCGGGGAACCATTGCCTCAGTGTGGGTAGTCAGATCGGTCTGGCCTCCTCTTGGAGCAGGCTGTCAGCCTGGCCAGTCTGTGTGTGCCTTGCTCTGGCTGCAGCAATCAGGAATGTTCAGGCATGGACATGAGATCTCGCTCTGGGACTTTCCTGTAAACTTTGGAAATGAGCTCTCCCTCTGATGGGCTTATTAAGCTGATAGACTATAAGCTTGACCCTGCAAAGTGGGAGCCTGCCCCAGACAGCAGGAGGAAGCAGGGTAGAGGAATGGAACATAATGGATTCCTGATTTAAATTGTGGGAATTAATAAATTTACGCTCTTTTTTTGTGTGTGTGTCTTCCTGAGACAGGGTCTCACTATGCAGTTCAGGCTGGTCTTGAACTCACTTTGTAGCCCAGGCTGTCCTCAAGCTCACAACAATCCTCCTGCCTCAGCCTCCCCAGTGCTAGGATTACAGGCGTGCACCATCATATAGGCTCTTAAATTTACGCTCTTGCTCAAGCTAATTTCAAATGGATTTCTGCCACTCACAATAGAAATAATCTTGGTTCTCAGATGCGGCTGAGTTCTATCCTGGAACAAAGTGACAAAAGGAGAGCTGGCTGCCAGCCGTGGGCTTGCAGCTGGTCCCCAACCCTCCCCACGCAGACTCCAGCCTGCATTGCTCCATTTGTATTTTGGATCTCTCCTCACTAGTTCCTGTATCCCAACTCTGCTCACACCCACTCTGTTGACTCTTGGCTACTCTCAGCATGGTGAACCTTAGCATCTTGTTCATAATCCTACACCTGTTCCTATGGTTGTGATTCCCTGCCTCAGTGAATGACACCACCATCTAGTCATCTGCCTAGAGGGAACCTGAACCTATCTATCTATCTATCTATCTCTCATCTATTGTGTATATATATATATATATTTCTGTTGTTTGAGACAGGGTCTCACTATGTAGTTCAGGCTGGTGTTGAACTCACTGTGTAGCCCAGGCTCGCCTCAAACTCATGGGGCTCCTCCTGCCTCAGCCTCTTGAGTGTTGTTGGGATTATAGGCGTGTGACACCATGCCAGCTACAAGACTGTTATTTTTGTTAGACATCAGAACCTTTGGATTTGTTTTTCAAAATTATCTCTCAAATCTGTGCCTAACCCCAATAGTTATTGCCGTAACCCAGAGTTTATCTCTCACCTGAATGTAGGTAATGGCTTCTAAGGCACTTCTTGTGCCACCCATCCTCTCTCCCTCTATGAAGTCACATCCCCCCTGTGCTATAAAAGTTCAGTTTGGTTCTAAGAGACAGGAATAATGTTTGTGGTATGAGTAGTAGGTGCCAGGCTCTGCATTAGCAGTTGTATGTGCACGATCTCATTCTAGTTCACAGTGACTCATTTTATAGGTGTGGACGCTGAAGCTCTGCGAAGTTCAGTTATTTGCTCAAAGTTACAGATCTGGTTGTCAGGGGAGATGGAATTTGAATCTAGATCTTTCTGACTCTTACTCTACCAGCAATCCCCCAATCCCATACTGTCCCTTTGACATCATTTTAAAAATCTAGATCATATCACTCTGGGGTTTACATTTTTATTTTAATTAGTCAATTAATTAAGTTTTGAAGACAAGTTCTCACTCTGTATTCCAACTCACTACGTAGCTCAGGTTGGCTTTGAATTTGCAGTGATCCTCCTGCCTCAGCCCCCTGAGTCCTCTTATCACATGGAATCTTCTGTCTTTCATAATCTGGCTCCTATTTATCCAGTGTTACCACTTCACCCTCCCTACCTGCCTTCTTTTCTCTTACACAGAGAGAAGGACCCAGATTTTAGTTATTTTTATCACACCTCCTAGCAGTATCTGAACTAAAATAGTTACTTAGTAAATGTTAGTGGAATGAAAGAACTAATGACCCCATGTTTCTGAATGCTTCTTCTCACCGTTACGGGAGACCGAACAAGGGGCCTAGTGAGGCTTCCCTTGTATTGCTGATGCCTCCTTTTCTGCCACACGGTTTTTTTTTTTTTTTTTTTTTTT